CTTAGGAAATAATACCACTCAGATAAAACTGGAACTGTCCCAATAATGAAAGAGCTTAGACTTGTCAAAAGCTTTTACTGAAACAGAAATGCTGGGATGGAATTCCCAATTATGCTACCTGAAACTATGTGACCTTGGCGTGACCTTGGGGTAGTCATCCCTCCACTCAGAGGTTGAACTAGATGTTTGTAAAGAATTCTATTCAAGGCCGGGCGCAGTGGCTCAAGCCTGTAATCCCAGCACTTTGGGAGGCCGAGGCGGGTGGATCACGAGGTCAAGAGATCGAGACCATCATGGTCAAAATGGTGAAACCCCGTCTCTACTAAAAAATACAAAAAATCAGCTGGGCATGGTGGTGTGTGCCTATAATCCCAGCTACTCAGGAGGCTGAGGCAGGAGAATTGCCTGAACCCAGGAGGCAGAGGTTGCAGTGAGCCGAGATCGCGCCATTGCACTCCAGCCTGGGTAACAAGAGCGAAACTCCGTCCCCCCAAAAAAAAAAAAAAAAAAGAATTCTATTCAACTCTCAGCCGGGCGCGGTGGCTCACGCCTGTAATCCCAGCACTTTGGGAGGCCGAGGCGGGTGGATCATGATGTCAAGAGATCAAGACCATCCTGGCCAACATGGTGAAACCCCATCTCTACTAAAAATACAGGTATTGATCGACTTACGACCTATGTAACTTTCGACCATTTGACTTTACGACCACAATCGCTAGCCACGACTGCTCCACGTCTGGCAGCGCAAACGTTGCCCAGCTGGGCATACGACAGTGAGGACCAGCTTCCGGCAGCACTACCATCTCCGCATGCATATAGCCTACTCAACTTATGACCAAATCGTGTTACGACTGGTCTGTCGGAACCAATCGTGGTCGTAAGTCGAGTACTAGCTGTACAAAAAATTAGCCGGGCATGGTGGCACGTGCCTATAATCCAAGCTACTTAGGTGGCTGAGGCAGGAGAATCGCTTGAACCTGGGGGTCGGAGGTTGTGGTGAGCCATGATTGCGCCATTGCACTCCAGTCTGGGCAACAAGAGCAAAAGTCCGTCTCAAAAAAAAAAAAAGATTCTATTCAATTCTGTGATTTTCTAGAGTCTGAGATACTCTTGAGAGGAAAAAAAAAGCAAACCAGAAAATCACTCTTAACTAAAAGTTACCATCATCAAATCCTTGAAATTCATAAAAAAATAGATAGAAAATCACAATTTAAAAAATGCAGTTGAAAGCCGGGCGCGGTGGCTCAAGCCTGTAATCCCAGCACTTTGGGAGGCCGAGGCGGGTGGATCACGAGGTCAAGAGATCGAGACCATCCTGGTCAACATGGTGAAACCCCGTCTCTACTAAAACTACAAAAAATTAGCTGGGCATGGTGGCACGTGCCTGTAATCCCAGCTACTCAGGAGGCTGAGGCAGGAGAATTGCCTGAGCCCAGGAGGTGGAGGTTGCGGTGAGCCGAGATCGCGCCATTGCACTCCAGCCTGGGTAACAAGAGCGAAACTCCATCTCAAAAAAAAAAAAAAAATGCAGTTGAAGCAAGTAATATTCACAGAGAATATTCAGAGAAAATTATATTTGTGCTTTGAGGCTAAATATCATTGGGTCCCTGGACTTTTTTTTTTTTTTCCCGAGACAGTGCAGTGGTACAATCACAGCTGACTATAGCCTCGACCTCCAAGCCTCAAGTGATCCTCCTGCCTCAGCTTCCAGAGGAGCTAGGACTACAGGTGTGTGCCACCATGCCCAGCTAATTTTTGGATTTTTGTATAGAGATGAGGTCTTCTTGTGTTGCCCAGAATGTTCTTGAACTCGTGGGTTCCAGTGATTTGACCACCTCAGTCTCCTAAAGTGCTAGGATTACAGGTATGTGTCACCATGCCCAACCTCAAGCACTCTTCTGCTGAATAAAGGGGACATAGCTGTCCTATGCTATAATGGGCATTAGGATGTCATGCAGAGAAGGGTTGGGAAATCACCTTACAAGGTACAGTCCTCTGCTCAGGGGGGCCAGCAGGGTCTTATAGGCATCGTTCACCAGGGTTGAATGCTTCTCCGAGAAGTCTTTTTCAGTCTGTTAGTGGAGATGAAGATAGTACTATTACCATCCAAATCACAGTCTTTTTTCATTCAGGCTGGAGTGTGCAGTGGCACGATCTCAGCTCACTGCAACTTCCGCCTTCCATGTTCAAGCGATCCTCCTGCCTCAGCCTCCTGAGTAGCTGGGACTACAGGTGTGTGCCACTGCGCTTGGCTAATTTTTGTATTTTTAGTAGAGACAGGGTTTCACCATGTTGGCCAGGCTAGTCTCGAACTCCCGACTTCAAGTGATCTGCCTGCCTTGGCTTCCCAAAGTGCTGGGATTACACGCATAAGCCACTGCACCCAGCCCACAAAATTTTATAATATGCTGATAGGCAGGCACCTAAGGAAGTGGTTAAGTAGAGCTGGTGTGGGATGAGGTGCCTTTATATTCAGCTGATAGGTTTTAAGTTATCTGGGGAAGTCAGACAAAAGCTGTGAGTGAATGAGAGCTCTGGGTCTGGCAGGCTGGGGTCAGACTGCCATGGGCAGATAGAGCTGATTTTCCAGCTCTGTCCCTGATAATCACATAGCCACAAGACCACTGCCACCTGGTATGCACACATATTTGGGGATTATTGGGGTTGGCCAAGAAGCTACCTGAGACCTCTGGCTGAAGAAATCTGGGTGGACAAGACGCTGCAGTTGCTGGTACCTGTGCTGGAGCTTCACAGTATCAACTCTGAAGGAACAGTTGCTGGAAGGAAATTGGGAGATGAAATTTATGCGACAAATATTTAAAGATTTGTCTACCATGAGCCTGGTTCTTGCTTAGGGAGAAGATGCACTAAACATATAAACAGATAATTTCAAAAAGTAGTAGGTGCTATGAAGGGACACAGAACAGGGTCAGAGAGGGTAGCAGATGTAGTGGACAAAGAGATGGCATTAAGCTCAAATTGGAATGATGATGAGTAATCAAAGATCAGAACAAAGAGTCATCCAGGTAGAATTCCAAGAGCAACGATCTTGAGGTGAGAGCAAGACAGGGATGCTGAGGAACTTAAAGATCAGTGTTATTGCAGCTCCTCATACATGTTCAGTGACTGGTGCGGGCAGATCCCATAGTTAAGGGAAAGGGACATTCCTAAATTACACAGACAAAGATTCTTTGCTTGGCCAAACTTTAGTCAGATTTCTGGACCTTCTCCTAGGCCCAGCTGTGTGCTTTCTTGTATAATCCAGTTTTGGCAAAGAACCTTGCTAAGTCAGTTTAGCTACAATCCTCAATCCTCATATTTTATCACCTAGATCTCTGATTAGATTCTTCATCCTCTACCATTCTCCAGGAAGTGTCTGAGCACCCTGGCCTGTCTTTAGCAAGAATCCTTTTAGGTCGGTTTAGTCAGAATCCCGCTTACTCTGCTTCTTGGCTACAAATTCCCTCCTGGGCATGCTGTTTTTGGAGTTGAGACCAATCTCTCTCCCCCACTGCAGGACCCTATTGCAATGGTCCATCTACAAGATGGTCTTGAAGAAAGTCTTCCTTCAGTGCTTGAACTAGTGTTACGAATTTTTTTTTTTTTTTTTAATACCACCCTATCTTTCCACAGTTCAGGTCCCTTTATCTCTGTCTCCCAGTTTATTTTAATCCAACGCCTTTCACTTTCTACTCCCCAAATCTGTCCTATTTCCTTACCAGTTCAGCTGTGTCCACACTGCCCCATCTCTCCAAGATCCTCAGCCTCAGGGGAAAAAAACCCATGTATTGGACCCTCTCCCTCCAATTCTCACTTTTCCCTTAGGCCTCGCCCACAATATTAAGCTTTTCGTGCTTTAATCCCCAATCTTGGACCACACTTCTGCAGTCCTTTTTTTCTTTTTTTGAGACGGAGTCTCACTCTGTTGCCAGGGTGGAGTGCAGTAGCACCATCTCAGCTCACTTCAATCTTTGCCTCCCGGGTTTAAACCATTCTCCTGCCTCAGCCTCCCGAGTAGCTGGGATTACAGGCGCGCACCACGACACCCAACTAATTTTTTGTATTTTTAGTAGAGATGGGGTTTCATCATGTTGACCAGGATGGTCTTGAACTCCTGATCTCAGGTGATCCGCCCGTCTCGGCCTCCCAAAGTGCTGGGATTACAGGCGCGAGCCACCGCGCCCGGCCTTCTACAGTCCTTTCTTAAAAACAACAACCCAACTTTAAACCTTCCAGACACTATCATTCAAGCCTTCCAGTCTCCCAGGTCCTGGCCCTCAAGTACCCTTTCCTCAAACTCCGCCCCTCGACTTCTCCTAACCTTTCTCGTCGGTACCGCCCCTCAAACCTCCCTCCACTGTAGCCTCGGCCCCCCTATTTCCTCTGACTTCAGTGCCCGCCTCTCCAGTCCCGTTCCTCTCCGTTCTCCACACCTCAACGCTGCCTCCCTCAGTCCCCGCCTCTCAATTTCCTCCTGAGAAATCAAGACACTTCACTAACGCCTGCTCTCCAGACCTCCGCCCCCCTATTAGTTCCGCCTTCTCTTCCGCAAGCCAGGTCCGCCCTCCCCTCTCGCAGGCCAGCCCCCGACGTCTCGCTCGCTCAGGCAGGTTTTCCGAAACCGTCGCTCGTACCAGTCCATGAGGCTGAAGTAGTCTCGAGTGGGGTCAGGTGCCTGCAGCGCTCGGCACTGTGGGCAGAAGAACCCGTTCTCCCGCCCGGGGCCCCCTGGGCTGCCGCAATTCCAACAGCGGGGAGAATTGCTTCCCGCCTGCGACGCAGCATCGCAGCTTAGCGGTCTCCTTCCGGGAACCCCTGTCGGCCAAAACCCCCACAGCCGGAGCAAAGACCCAACTCTCCGCCGCCACATCTGGCCGGCGGCCTATGTAGCGGCGGTCACTCGTGGGGAAAAGCAGAGAGAGCGGCCAACTAGACTAATGCTGCTGATTGGCTGAGGAGTCGAGGGGGCGGGATCAACCGAGGGGAACCTGGGTTCTGAGTTCCGCTCTGCCTTCTAAACTACAACTCCCAGGAAGCATTGAGGCGACGCCTGACGGCCACATCTGCTGCTTCTCATTGGTCCGGCGGCAGGGGAGGGCGTTTTGATTGGCTGAGGGTGGAGTTTGTATCTGCAGGTTTAGCGCCACTCAGCTGGCTGAGGCTGCGGAGAGTGTGGGGCTCCAGGTGGGCTCACGCGGTGAGTCATATGGGGAACTGATGTTGGGTGTTAGGTGGTTCGAATCCCATCCTCAGCGTTTTGTGCGAGGGGAGTCTCCTGAGCTTCGCTTTGTTTGTATTTTTGAGCTGAAGGGGGAGTGTGTGGGCGACTCTCTTCCTTTTTAGTAAATCATCCTCGAGGTGAAGTTCACTTCCCGTGTTACTTACAAGCTGAAACAGGCCTGAACGTACAGGATAAGAAGGAACAGAGTTGTGTTCTTCAATATCAGAACGAAGTTACTTTGTAAAAAGTTCTACAGATGTTTGTAATCATTGCCACTCTTTAGGTTCCATATCTAAAATACTTACAGAGAGGCCAGACTTAGCTACTGGGCGCTGCAGGAACTGGAAACGCACTGAGCTGTGTAGGACGATGTTCTGCAAGTGTCCCTAAGTGTATGGGATGGGGTGGCCAGGAGTGGGTAGGAGGACATCAGTCCTCCTTCGGACTCAGCTTTTCTAGTTGAAAAAAAGATGCTGTTTCACTTGTAAGTCCTCTGGATTTTTTTTTAATTACTTATTTGTGATATAAAATATACGTATATGATTTGCCATTTGTACCATTTTAAAGTATACAGTTCAGTGATGATAAACACATATTCTTTTCTTTTTTTTTTTTTTGAGACAGAGTTTTGCTCTTGTTGCCCAGGCTGGAGTGCAATGGTGCAATCTTGGCTCACGGCAGCCTCTGTCTCCTGGGTTCAAGCGATTCTCCTGCCTCAGCCTCCCTGGTAGCTGGGATTACAAGCATTTGCCACCACGCCCGGCTAATTTTGTATTTTTAGTAGAGACGGGGTTTCTCCATGTTGGTCAGGCTAATCTCAAACTCTGGACCTCAGGTGACCCTCCTGCCTCGGCCTCCCAAAGTGTTGAGATTGCTCCACCTAAGCTGGAGTGCAGTGGTGTGATCTTAGCTTACTGCAACCTCGTCTCCTGGGTTCAAGCAGTTCTCATGTCTCAGCCTCCCAAGTAACTGGACTACAGGCACCAGCCACCATGCCTAGCTAATTTTTGTATTTTTAGTAGGGTTACAGTTTTGCCATATTGGCCAGGCTGGTCTTGAACTCTTGACCTCATGTGATCCACCTGCTTCAGCCTCCCAAAGTGCTGGGATTACAGATATGTCCACCTGCCTCGGCCTTCCAAAGTGCTGGGATTATGGAAGTGAGCCACCGTGCCCGGCCTGCCCATTTCTTAGATTGGATTATTTGTCTTTTTGCAGTTGAGTTATTTCATCTCCTTATATATTCTGGTTATTCATCCCTTGTCAGATAGCTAGATTCCCAATGTTTTTTCCCATTCTGTGGGTTGTCTCTTCACTTTGTTGATTGTTTCCTTTGCTGTGCAGAAGCTTTTTAGCTTGATGAAATCCCAGTTGTCTGTTTTGCTTTAGTTGCTTGTGCTTTTGAGGTCTTAAGCAAAAAACCTGAGCTCAAACAATGGTCTGAAGCACTTCTCCAGGGTTTTTTTTTTAAAGATGGGGTTTCACCATGATGGCCAGGCTGGTCTTGAACTCCTGACCTCAGGTGATCCCACACCTTGGCCTTCCAAAGTGCTAGGATTACAGGCGTGAGGCACCGTGCCCTGCCTTTCCAGTGTTTTCTTGTAGTAGTTTCATAGGTTTTGGGACTGGGCTTCTGTTTATAGTCCTGGAGTTTTGCTGCCCTCACTTTGATTTTTCACTCACTACTCTGCATGGCTTTCCAATAATAATATCTCCCAGATAGCAAGCGTGGGTGGGTGTGGGGAGTATTACATGCTTCACTTCACTTAATCCTCACCATCTGTCTACTTTTTTTCAGATGAGAAAACAGGCTTAGAGAAGTTGTGATCTACCTGAAGTCATGCACAGTTTGATGCAAGTGTCTGATCCGCTTGTCTCTAATCTCTCATAGCAACTTGTTGACAAGTTTTCTCCAGTTGTCCTGTTTTGCTGAAAAAGCTGTGGGGAAGACTCAGCCTGGCTGAGGTAGTATTAGACCAGCAGGCCCTGGAGCAGCTTACTCAGTTGTGGTATTGCCTTCCTGGTATGTTTTAAAGAAAACTCATCAGAATCTTTGTATCTTTTTTTTTTTTTCCCCCCCGTGAGACAGCGTCTGGCTCTGTTGCCCAGGCTGGAGTGCAGGCTCAATCACGGCTCACTACAGCCTCAACCTCCTAGGCTCAAGTGATCCTCCCACCTCAGCCTTCCAAGTAGCTGGGATTACAGTTGTATACCACCATGCCGGGCTAATTTTTTCTGTTTTCTGTAGATACTGGGTCTTACCATGGTGCCCAGGCTGGTCCTGAATTCCTGGGCTCGAGCCATTCCACCTGCCTTGATTACAGGCATGAGCCACCACACCTGGCAGAACCTTTGTATCTTGAAAGCTTTGTAAATACAGTCAGGGTGGGTATCCTAGTCCCCCCTTATTAACAATAGTAGTTTCAGTTACCAATGGTCAGCTGGGATCTAAAATATTAAGTGGAAAATTCAGAAGTTTTCATAAGAAATAATCAATTCAGGCCAGGCGCGGTGGCTCAAGCCTGTAATCCCAGCACTTTGGGAGGCCGAGGCGGGTGGATCACGAGGTCAAGAGATCGAGACCATCCTGGTCAACAAGGTGAAACCCCGTCTCTACTAAAAATACAAAAAATTAGCTGGGCATGGTGGTGTGTGCCTGTAATCCCAGCTACTCAGGAGGCTGAGGCAGGAGAATTGCCTGAACCCAGGAGGCGGAGGTTGTGGTGAGCCGAGATCACGCCATTGCACTCCAGCCTGGGTAACATGAGTGAAACTCCGTCTCAAAAAAAAAAAAAAAAGAAATAATCAATTCAGGGCCAGGCTTGGTGGCTCATGCCTATAATCCCAGCACTTTGGGAGGCTGAGGTGGGTGGATCACCTGAGGTCAGGAGTTTGAGACCAGCCCGGCCAAAACGGTGAACCCCTGTCTGTACTAAAAAAAGGTATACAAATTAGCCAGGCATTGTGGTGTGTGCCTGTAATTCCAGCTACTTGGAAGGCTGAGGTAGGAGAATTGCTTGAACCCAGGAGGTGGAGGTTGCAGTGAGCCAAGATCGCACCACTGCACTCCAGTCTGGGTGACTGAGTGAGACTGTCTCAAAAAAAAAAAAAATCAATAAGTGTTAAATTATGTGGTTTTGCAATGCTTTTTTCAAGTCACCCTTATATTTAATAATGGCCCCAAAGCCAAAGATGCTGGCAGTTTGGATATTGCAAAGAGAAGCTGTAAAGTGTTTCCTTTAATGAAAAGGTGAAAGATCTCAACTTATTAAGGAAAGAGCTGGGCACAGTGGCTCATGCCTGTAATCCCAGCACTTTGAGAGGCTGAGGTGGCTGGATCACCTGAGGTCTGGAGTTCGAAACCAGCCTGACCAACAGAGAGAAACCCTGTCTCTAGTAAGAATAGAAAATTATCTGGGCGTGGTGGCACATGCCTGTAATCTTAGCTACTCTGGAGCCTGAGGCAGGGGAATCAGTTGAACATGGGAGGTGGAGGTTGTGGTGAGCTGAGTTTATGCCATTGCACTCCAGCCAGGACGACAAGATCAAAACTCCATCTCAAAAAAAAAAAAAAAAAGGAAAGAATTGTATGCTGAGGCTGGTGACATCTGTGGTAAGAACAATCCTCTATTTGTGAAATTGTGAAGAAGGAGAAAGAAAGTCGTGCATAGTTTATATAGAGTTCTGTACTATCTGAGGTTTCAGGCATTCACTGGAGGGTCTTGGATCTTATCCCCCTCTGATGGAAGGGACTACAATAGTATTGTTGACTGTGTTGTCTTGGAGTAGTAGTCTGAGTGTGGGGAGGAAGAGAATGTCCTCGCCCCACATTTTTTTTTTGTTAATCCGATTAAGTCAGCAGTGGACATTACTTTGGTTTTACTGGTGGTTCTGCTGTCAGAGTCTTGTTTTGTTTTCTGTTCTTTGGAGATAGGGTCTCACTCTGCCACCCAGGGTGGTGTGTAAGTGGTATGATCGTAGCTCACTGCAGCCTTTCCTGGGGTCAAGCAATCTTCCCACCTCACCTTCCCAAGTAACTGAGGTCACAGCTGCATGCCACCATGCCTAATTTTCTTATTTTTTTGTGCAGAGGGGGTCCTACTATGTTGGCCAAGCTGGTATTGAACTTGTGGCCTCAAGTGATCCTCTTGTCTTGGTCCCCATAGTGCTGGGATTATAGGTATGAGCCACTGCACCCAGCCTGTTATGAGAGCCTACCTGTCCATCAGGTTAATTCTTTTTTTTTTTGAGACGGAGTTTCACTCTTTTTACCCAGGCTGGAGTGCAATGGCGTGATCTCTGCTCACCGCAACCTCCGCCTCCTGGGTTCAGGCAATTCTCCTGCCTCAGCCTCCTGAGTAGCGGGGATTACAGGCACGTGCCACCATGTCCAGCTAATTTTTTGTATTTTTAGTAGAGACCAGGTTTCACATGTTGACCAGGATGATCTCGATCTCTTGACCTCGTGATCCACCCGCCGCAGCCTCCCAAAGTGCTGGTGACTCCCAAAGGCGTGAGTCACCGCGCCCGGCAGCTTAATTTTATTTTTATTTTTTATTTTTGAGATAGAGTCTTACTCTGTCACCCAGGCTGGAGTACAGTGGCGCAATCTCAGCTCACTACAATCTCTGCCACCTGGATTCAAGCAATTCTCCTGCCTCAGCCTCCTGAGTAGCTGGGATTACAGGCGCCTGCTACTGCACCCGGTTAATTTTTGTTGTTTTAGTAGAGACGAGGTTTCACCATCTTACCCAGGCTGTTCTTGAACTCCTGACCTCATGATCCACCCACCTCACTCTCCCAAAGTGCTGGGATTACAGGCATGAGCCACTGCGCCCGGCCCCATCAGACTAATTCTAAAACTAGGTGGGGAGACTCTGTTTTGGTCTCCAGTTTATAAAAGAATGGTTCCTGCAAGATTCCATCAAGGCAGGAAGGGCATTTAGGAGGCTGAAAAGATAAGCCCTATAGTTACTTAGCATCACAAAGGGACAGGTGGAGTTGTTTAGAACTGTCTTCCTTTGTGTTGTGCCTCATTAAGTAGTTGATTCCTTAGGTGTCAGGGAATCTAGATTGAGCAAACAGGTGTGTTTCCCTTTAGGCGCAAGCCTGAGGGGAAAAGGGTACTCAGACATTTTATGTAAATGGACCCTTTGGAGTAATGCTGCAGGTTATTTTACAATTTCTTTTGACTTGCTTCTGCTCCAAGTCACCTGATTCTTTGTCTTCTTGCTCTTTCCAAAAATCACAGATGCAAGCCGGGCGCGGTGGCTCAAGCCTGTAATCCCAGCACTTTGGGAGGCTGAGGCGGGTGGATCACGAGGTCAAGAGATCAAGACCATTCTGGTCAACATGGTGAAACCCCGTCTCTACTAAAAATACAAAACATTAGCTGGGCATGGTGGCGCGTGCCTGTAATCCCAGCTACTCAGGAGGTTGAGGCAGGAGAATTGCCCGAACCCAGGAGGCGGAGGTTGCGGTGAGCCGAGATTGCGCCATTGCACTCCAGCCTGGGTAACAAGAGCGAGACTCCGTCTCAAAAGAAAAAAAAAAAAAAGTCACAGTTGCTCCTCAACTTTAATGACACTACGTCTAAATAAGCCCATTCTAAATTGAAAATATTGTTAAATTGAAAATACATTTAATACACCTAACATACCAAACATAGTTTAGCCTAGCCTACTTTAAATGTGCTCATAATGTAGCAGGAAAGGCCGCAAAACAAACTTCTGAAACACTGAACTGGAAAGGAACGGGTGATTTATTCAGCCTGGAGCAGCTGCTGCTTGGATGCCTAATAGCATAGTTGCCTAACAGCTGAGCTCCCCATCAGAGAAAATCCTTGCCCTTTTAAAGGCTTACAACTCTAGAAATTACATGTGAAAGGGTCTTGATCCATGAAGTGGGCATAGGGTATATGACTTAGTTGGGGGTTTGATAGGGTGCAAGTAAAAACAATGCCTTCCGGAAAGATTCCTCCAAGGCTGCGACCTACTGGAGTGTGATTAAGTGTGGCGCCTGGGTCTGCCAGCCTTTACTTCTAGTGAAATGCAATGTAGAAGCCTAGGGGGAAGGGCCCTTAGAAGCTTAAGAGGATTAAGGGTCTCCTGCCTCAGGCCGGGCGCGGTGGCTCAAGCCTGTAATCTCAGCACTTTGGGAGGCCGAGGTGGGTGGATCACGAGGTCAAGAGATCGAGACCATCCTGGTCAACATGGTGAAACCCTGTCTCTACTAAAAATACAAAAAATTAGCTGGGCATGGTGGTGCGTGCCTGTAGTCCCAGCTACTCAGGAGGCTGAGGCAGGAGAATTGCTTGAACCCAGGAGGCGGAGGTTGCGGTGAGTCGAGATCGCGCCATTGCACTCCAGCCTGGGTAACAAGAGCGAAACTCCGTCTCCCAAAAAAAAAAAAAAAGGGTCTCCTTCCTCAAGAACATTTACAGTTGGCCAAAATTATCTAACACAAAAATTATTATTATTATTATCATTTTGTAGAGGTGGGGTCTCAAACACCTGCCCTCAAGCAATCCTTCCACCTCAGCCTCCCAAAGTTTTGGGATTACAGGTGTGAGTCGCTGCACCTAGCCTATTTTATTTATTTTTTAAATTTTGTTTTATTTATTTATTTTTGAGACGAAGTCTTGCTCTTGTTGCCCATGCTGGAGTGCAATGGCGTGATCTCGGCTCATTGCAACCTCCGCCTCCTGGGTTCAAGTGATTCTCCTGCCTCAGCCTCCTGAGTAGCTGGGATTACAGGCATGTGCCACCATGCCTAGCTAATTTTGTATTTTTAGTAGAGATGGGTTTTCTCCATGTTGGTCAAGCTGGTCTTGAACTCCTAACCTCAGGTGATCTGCCCACCTGGGCCTCCCAAAGTGCTGGGATTACAGGCGTGAACCACCACGCCCAGGCTATTTTATTTATTTATTTTGAGACAGAGTTTCACTCCTATTACCCAGGCTGGAGTGCAGTGGCGCCATCTCAGCTCACTGCAACCTCCATCTCCTGGGCTCAAACGATTCTCCTGGTCTCAGCCTCCTGAGTAGCTGGGACTACAGGCGTATGCCACCACACCCCACTAATTTTTGTATTTTTAGTGGAGACAGGGTTTCGCTATGTTGACCTGGCTAGTCTTGAACTGACCTCAGGTGATCTGCCTGCCTCGGCCTCCCAAAGTTCTGGGATTACAAGTGAGCCATTGTGCCCCGTCACCTGGCCTATTTTATAATAAGGCATTAAATATCTCATGTGATTCTGTACAGTTGAATACTGTACTGAAAATGAAAACCAGAATGATTGTATAAGGACTTGGAGGAAGTAGATTTCTTTTGAATTGCTTTCACAGAAAGCCTATAAAATTTGTTAAATAGAAGCATCATTAAATTGACAACTATATATATGAAATTTAAAGTTAGTGTTGAGTGTATCAATACATTTTTTTTTTTTTTTTTTTTTTTGAGACGGAGTTTCGCTCTTGTTACCCAGGCTGGAGTGCAATGGCGCGATCTCGGCTCACCGCAACCTCCGCCTCCTGGGTTCAGGCAATTCTTCTGCCTCAGCCTCCCGAGTAGCTGGGACTACAGGCATGCACCACCATACCCAGCTAATTTTTGTATTTTTAGTAGAGACGGGGTTTCACCATGTTGACCAGGATGGTCTCGATCTCTTGACCTTGTGATCCACCCGCCTCGGCCTCCCAAAGTGCTGGGATTACAGGCGTGAGCCACCGCGCCCGGCCATAAATTTTTTATTTAGTTTTAATTTTAAAAATTTGGGCAAATGTAAGCTTTTATGAGCCCCTCTAGCTCAATTTTATTGCTTTTTACCTATTCGTAATCTTCAAATAATTTGTTTTTCCCTTGTTGTTCATGGCTGTCAGACAAAAAACTGATCTGGTGACCATGATCTGGTGAAAAGCTCAGCCCAGAACTATAGGTCTGGACTGTTAAGACTTTTAATTTTTGGAGAGTATGTTTGCCCTGGGTTTTTTTTTCTTTTGCTGTTGTAGTATGCCCATCATTTTCTTTTTAAGTCTTGTGCCTTGAAACTCACCTTTCTTGTTGGACACTTCCTTTTTGAGGTCGTGATGTCTCGGGAGACGGATGTGGAGGCTCAGCAGTCCCATGGCAGCAGTGCCTGTTCACAGCCCCAAGGCAGTGCTCTGCAGTCCCAAGGCTTCTCCTCACAGTCCCAGGGCACATCCAGCTCTTCTACCGGCACCATGCCAAACTCAAGCCAGTCCTCTCACTCCAGCTCTGGGACACTGAGCTCCTTAGAGACAGTGTCCACTCAGGAACTCTATTCTATTCCTGAGGACCAAGAACCTGAGGACCAAGAACCTGAGGAGCCTGCCCCTGCCCCCTGGGCTCGATTATGGGCCCTTCAGGATGGATTTGCCAATCTTGGTAAGACCCTTTGTTATACAGTATGAAGTTTTGTTCAGAAAAACAGTTACAGAAAGTCGTTGTGTTACTGGTTGGGTGTTTGGCATGTTGAACAAATTATTGAACATCATGTATGAACAAGCAATGAAAGCATAAATTTATTGAAGTGGAAGGCAGTTGAAGCTAAAGTACACATCACAGAATGGGAGCAGGCCTGAGCAAGTGGCTGCGCATCCCTAGTAGCAAAGTCTTATGGGGTTCAAATACCCTCTAGAGGTCTCCCATTGGTTACATCCTATGTAAACGAAGGGCTGGCTCACAGCCAATTAGAGGCCAATCTAAGGCTGGTGTGGATTGGCGCCTTATGCAAATGAAAGTCCTAGAATGGACCAATCATAGGCTAGAATGCAAGTTCTTCCTTTTTATTTAGTTCCAGGAAAATTTTTTTTTTTTTTTTTTTTTTTTTTTGAGACGGAGTTTCGCTCTTGTTACCCAGGCTGGAGTGCAATGGCGCGATCTCGGCTCACCGCAACCTCCGCCTCCTGGGTTCAGGCAATTCTCCTGCCTCAGCCTCCTGAGTAGCTGGGATTACAGGCACGCACCACCATGCCCAGCTAATTTTTTGTATTTTTAGTAGAGACGGGGTTTCACCATGTTGACCAGGATGGTCTCGATCTCTTGACCTCGTGATCCACCCGCCTCTGCCTCCCAAAGTGCTGGGATTACAGGCTTGAGCCACCGCGCCCGGCTGAAAATTTTTTTTTTTTTTTGAGACAGAGTCTTGCTCTGTCACCCAGACTGGAGCGGCTTGACTCACTGCAACTTCTGACTCCTGGGTTCAAGTGATCTCTCCTGTCTCAGCCTCCTTAGTAATTGGGATTACAGACGCGCACCACCACACGTGGCTAATTTTTGTATGTTTAGTAGAGATGGGGTTTCACAATGTTGGCCAGGCTGGTCTCACTCCTGACCTCAAGTGATCAGCTCACCTCGGCCTCCTAAAGTGCTGGGATTACAGGCATGAGCCTATGAGCTCGGCTGTTCAGGAAGTTTGTGTAAATTGGCAAATTCACACAAACCCTATTTTCCTGCCTTAGTTGCAGCAGAATGCTTGATCCACTCTTGGAATGATTCTGGAGTTTGAAGGTGATGAAAGGTAAAACCGAAGAGGCAGTGCTGGATGTTGCACTGGCTGTTACCTGCTGTGGATTCCCTTCATTTATTCTTTCAACAAATATTAATTGGACATTTACAATGAGCTGTCCATCCACGGATCTGAAGGTAGCTTTGGACCCTTTCCTTAGAAAAATGTAGATTCACGCAAACTTGCAAACATCACCTAATCACAAAAGCTTCACCAGTTAACCTTTGCTGTGGTTTGCCATGGCTTCAAGAATCAGAGCTGTTCAGAATAGAGATGGCTATTTGTCGACACTTGTTATTTGTTCTTATATGAAAATGGCCAACCTTGTGATTTAAATATGCTGACCCTTTCTGACACCTCCTGGTTTCAATGGTAAGTCTTCCTATGTGTATTTTAAAATTGCCAGGCACGGTGACTTACGCCTGTAATCCCAGCACTTTGGGAGGCCAAGGCGGGAGGATCACTTGAGGCCAGGAGATCGAGACCAGCCTGGGCAACATGGCGAAACCTTGTCTCTGCTGAAAATATAAAAAGTAGCCAGATGTGGCGACGGGTGGCTGTAATCGCAGCTAGTGAGGAAGATGAGACATGAGAATCACTTGAACCCAGGAGGGGGAGGTTGCAATGAGCCAAGATTGTGGCACTGCACTTCAGTCAAAATATGGTGTTTTTTTCCTTTCTCTTACATTAAGATGACCTCTTCACTAAACGAATTTGAACCTGACTTTAATAGGATAGAATATATTAATATAAAGAAATTAAGGGCTGATGTATCATTTTGTGTTTTGTCACTCACCATCCTTGTTTTATTTCACGTCCAAAAAAACTGTACAAAATGGAGAAACAGTATACCTGCATTCCACATATACAACTTTAAATTTAGAAGCCGACACTTGAAACTTTTTTTTTTTTTTTTTTTTTCAGATGGAGTTTCGCTCTTGTTACCCAGGCTGGAGTGCAATGGTGGGATCTCGGCTTGCAGCAACCTCCGCCTCCTGGGTTCAGGCAATTCTCCTGCCTTAGCTGCCTGAGTAGTTGGGATTACAGGCATGCGCCACTTGCCCAGCTAATTTTTTTGTATTTTTAGTAGAGACGGGGCTTCACCATGTTGACCAGGATGGTCTAGATTTCTTGACCTCGTGACCCACCTGCCTCGGCCTCCCAAAGTGCTGTGATTACAGGCATGAGCCACTGCACCTGGCCCGAAGCTATTTTTAACCCATTTAAAATATAGTTTTCAGGCTGGGCATGGTGGCTCACGCCTGTAATCCCAGCACTTTGAGAGGCCAAGGCGGGTGGATCACCTGAGGTTGGGAGTTTGAGACCAGCCTGGCCGACATGGGGAAACCCCATCTCTATTAAAACTACAGAAATTAGCGGGGTGTGTTGGCAGGTACCTATAATCCCAGCTACTCGGGAGGCTGAGGCAGGAGAATTGCTTGAACTTGGGAGGCGGAGGTTGCGGTGAGCTGAGATCACGCCATTGCACTCCAGCCTGGGTGACTGAGTGAGACTCCATCTCCAAAATAAATAAATAAATAAAATAAAATGTATATGAGACTGGGGCGTGGTGGCTCACAACTGTAATCCCAGCTCTTAGAGAGGCAGAGGTGGGAGGATAGCTTGAGCCCAGGAGTTCCAGAGCTGCTGGACAATATGGCAAGACCTCGTTCTCCACAAAAAGTGGGGGAAAGAAAAGACAAGTAAGCAAAGAGCCTGATAGGATGACCAGCATAAAGCATATGTTGAATAGAGGCTGTTTATTATTATTACTTTTGAGACGAGTCTTGCTCTGTCACCCACGCTGGAATGCAGTGATGCGATCTCAGCTCACTGTAACGTCTGCCTCCCAGATTAAGTGATTCTTCTGCCTCAGCCTCCTAAGTAGCTGGGATTACAGGTGCCGCCCGACATGCCCAGCTAATTTTTATATTTTTAGTAGAGATGGGGTTTCACTCCTGACCTCAGGTGATCCGCCTGCCTCAGCCTCCCAAAGTGCTGGAATTACAGACGTGAGTGACTGTGCCTGGACTAATTTTTTTTTTTTTTTAAGTACAATTTCCATTTTATTTTTCTCCAGACAATAGTCTGTTTTCAGTCTTCAGTTCCTTACTTAAGTGAGTTTTTTTTTTTTTTTTCTTGAGACGGAGTTTCGCTCTTGTTACCCAGGCTGGAGTGCAATTGCGCGATCTCAGCTCCCGGCAACCTCCGCCTCCTGGGTTCAGGCAATTCTCCTGCCTCAGCCTCCTGAGTAGCTGGGATTACAGGCACGCGCCACCATGCCCAACTAATTTTTTGTATTTTTAGTAGAGACGGGGTTTCACCATGTTGACCAGGATGGTCTCGATCTCTTGACCTTGTGATCCTCCCATCTCGGCCTCCCAAAGTGCTGGGATTACAGGCGTGAACGACGGGGCCCGGCCCCTTACGTGGGTTTTGATGGGGGTCGTGGGGCAGCACCCGCAGGTCTAAATCAGGGTGGTGGCGGTGTTCGGTTCTTGCAGGCTTCACAAGATCCATTCCTGACTACTTTGCTGTGAATTGCACAACTCACACAGTAATGTAGCTTCACATACAGCTTGGGAAGCACATAGGCATCGAAGAAGCTTGCTTCAGAAATCTCCCTGACTGCTGCAGCCTCCACTGTATTTCAAATGACAAATTTCTTTTTTTTTTGAGACGGAGTTTCGCTCTTGTTACCCATGCTAGTGTGCAATGGCGCGATCTCGGCTCACCGCAACCTCCGCTTTCTGGGTTCAGGCAATTCTCCTGCCTCAGCCTCCTGAGTAGCTGGGATTACAGGCACGCACCACCATGCCCAGCTAATTTTTTGTATTTTTAGTAGAGACGGGGTTTCACCATGTTGACCAGGATGGTCTCGATCTCTTGACCTCGTGATCCGCCCGCCTCGGCCTCCCAAAGTGCTGGGATTATAGGCGTGAGCCACCGCGCCCGGCAATGACAAATTTCTTAATGGCCTTGTCCTTGGGCACGCATCAGGCACAGTTCGTGCAGCGAATAGGCTGCATGTGGCCACGGCGCTTTTTGGCACTACCGATGTTTCGTTTCTTTGTCATCTTGGAGGCACAGACTGGAGAGAGGATGGCCTAATTATTTTATCTTTATTTTTTGTGAAGACAGAGTCTCACCATTTACCCTATATGATCTTGAACTCCTGTTGTCAACTGATCCTCCTGCCTCAGCCCCCCAAAGTGCTGGGATAAGAGGTGTGAGCCACCACACTCAGCCAGCTTTCAGTCTTTTGTCACTAAGTATGATGTTAGCTGTGGGTCTTTTCTTTCTTTCTTTCTTTTTTTTTCTGTAGTAGAAATCTGAAGACCAAGCTGTGGATGTTTCACGAAAGTTCTTTCTGGCTGGATGCTCTGACGCATAAACTCTGTAATCTCAGTGCTTTGGGAACCTATGGCAAGAAAATTGCTTGAAGCCAGGAGTTGGAGACTACAGTGAGCTTTGATTGCAGGCCACAGAGCAAGATTGTCTCTAAATTAAAAATAAATAAAATAAATAAATAAAAGCTCTTTCTTAGGTTGAAGGGATTTCCTCCTATTCCTAGTTCTCTGAGTATTTTTTTTATTGTAAAAGGGTGTTGAGTTTTGCCAAAAATTGTTTCTCTGTTATCCTCCATTCTGTTGTTATTGTGTATTATATTAGTTGGTTTTCAGATGTTAAGCCAACCAAGCTTTCCTGGGTTAATTCTTATTTGATGATGTGTAATCTTTTTTTATGTGTTGCTGGATTTAGTTTGCTACTGTTTTGTTGAGGATTTTTGTATCTATATTCGTAAGGGATATTGGTTTGTAGTTTTATTGTGATGTCTCTGTCTGGTTTGGGTATCAGGGTATTACTGGCCTCATAGATGAGTTGACAGTGTTCCCTCCTTTATTTCTTGGAAAAGTTTGAGAATAATTGGTATTAATCTTTACATATTTGATAGAATTTAAAATGAAGCCAGCCATCTGTTTCTTTTTTTCTTTTTTCTTTTTCTGTTTTTCTGTTGTTGTTGGTTTTTTTTGAGACAGGGCCTCACTCTGTTTCCTAGGCTGGAGTGCAGAGTGGCATGATCACATTTCACTGCAGCCTTGACCTCCCAGGCCCAACTGCTACCTCAGCCTCCTGAGTAGCTGGGACAGGCATGTGCTACCACACATGGCTAATTTTTTTATTTTGATAGAGACGGGGTCTCCCTATGTTGCTCAAGCTAATGTGAGAGTATCTGGGACTGCACTTTTCTTTGTAGTGGATATTTTGATTATCTATTCAGTCGATTTTTTTTGAGACAGAGTCTCTCACTGTCACCCAGGCTGGAGTGAAGTGGCACGATCTCGGCTCACTGCAGCCTCTGCCTCCCAGGTTCAAGCAATTCTTGTGCCTCAGCCTCCAGAGTAGCTGAGACTACAGATGCGTGCCACCGTGTCCGGCTAATTTTTGTATTTTTTGTAGAGATGAGGTTTCACCATGTTGGCCAGGCTGGTCTCGAATTCTTGATCTCGTGATCCACCTGCCTCAGCCTCCCAAAGTGTTGGGATTACAGGCATGAGCCACCTCGCCTGGCCCTTTTTTTGTGTATTTTTAGTAGAGATGGGATTTTGCCATGTTGCCCAGGCTGATCTCGATCTCCTGAACTTAGGCAATCCACCTGTCTTTGCCTCCCAAAGTGCTAGTATTATCATTCAGTCTTTTCCCTTGTTATGGGTATATTCAGATTTTCTGCTTCTTCTTGTATTAGTTTTGGCAGTTTGTATCTTTCCAGGAGTTTGCCCATTTCACCTATGTCATTTAATATTGTCACACAATTGTTCATATTATTCTTTTTAAATCATTTTTATTTCTGTCAGATCATTAGTAGTTACCTTTCTCATTCCGATTTCAGTAATTTGAGTCTTGTCTCTTTTTTTCTTGTTTAATCTGTTTTAAGATTTGCCAACCTGTTGATCTTTTTAAGTAACTAATTTGGATTTGTTAATTTTCTTTTTCTTTCTTTTTAGAGACAGGGTCTCACTCTGTCGCCCTGAAGTGAGTGGTGCAATCACTGCTCACTGTAGCCTGGACTTCTTGGCTCAAGCGATCCTCCTTCTTCGGCCTCCCAAAGTACTGGGATTACATGAGCCGTCGCATGCAGCCCATATGTAGTTTTGATAGATATTGCTAAATTGTCGTCCCTAGACAATTATATACAATGTGTGTATAAATTATATTCTCACTGGCAATGCATAAGAGTACCCACTTTTTCGTACCTCTTGCCAGCACAGGGTGATATGAAATTTTTGGATTTTTGCTAATCTAATAGGTAAAACATGAAGTGTTAATGTGTTTTTGATTTCTAAATTTTCTTATATCGAGTTAGCTTGGCCACCTTTCTTATGTCTGAGCCAGCTGCATTTCTGTTTCTTGTAAATTATCTTTTCATGTCCTTTATCCATTGTTCTACTGGACTGTGTAGCTTTTTCGTTGATTTATAGGAACTTAACATTTATTAGGGAAATTAGTACTTTTCCTGATAGGAGTTACTAATGTTTTCTCTAGTCTTTTTTGCAATGAATATTTAATTGCCTGCCGTGTGCAGTGTTCCAAGGGCTGGAGTTGTGCTGTTAAACAAGAGATCTTCAGCTGCCCTCCTGGAGGTTATGTTCTAATTCGGGGAGGTGGGGAGAAAATATACAATAAGCAAGGTAATTTCCAGTTGTGGCCCATACTCTAAAAGAAATGCAACAGGATAACATTATGACAGCAGTTGAGTAATGCTTATGTAGAAAGCTGAGTGGGAGAGATGATAGTAGAGCCCAAAAGGCAGATCATATTGTGTAGATAGTATCTATATAAAAGGCAAGGTAGAATGAGCCATTCAGGTAGTTGGGGAAGAAGTGCTAAGACCAGAAAGTAGGCTGAACCCGGCACTCTTGGGGGTAGTGAAAGAAGGCCTGTAGGGCTGGGTGTCATGAGCAAGGGGAGAGGGGTGTGAGGTGGGGCTGGCATGGTGGCAGGGCCAGCCCCTAAACATCTGATAGGCCATGATGAAGTGTGCAGATTTTATGCTAAGTGTTGTGGAAAGCCTCAGGAAAGTAATAAGCAGGAAGTTACTGTATTGTATGAGTCATTAAAAATTACTCAAGAACTTTTAATGACTTTGTTATTTCATGGTTTTATATATATATGTATGTGTGTATATATATATATATATACACACATATAACATTAGATTATTTTACAATATATACTGTATATAATATATATTTGCATGTATATTATATGTATACTATATATTATATATTATATAAAAATATAAATATATAATACATTATTTTATGTATAAATATGTAATTATATTTAAGGCAGCTTATATAATAAACATATGTATAATGCAAATTACATATATAATAAACATTAAATAAATATTTAATATGTATATTTGTTTATTTTTTTGAGAAAAGTCTTGCTCTGTTGCCCAGGCTAGAGTGCAGTGGCAGGATCACCGCCCACTGTAACATCAAATCCTCAGGCTCAAGTGATCTTCCTGCTTCAGCCTCTTGAGTAGTTGCAACTATAGGCATGTAACCACCACATCTGGTTAATTTTTTGAAACGGTCAGGTCAGGTGTATTGCCTCACGCCTGTAATCCCAGCACTTTCGGAGGTTGAGGTGGGCGGATCACAAGGTCAGGAGATCAAAACCATCCTGGCCAACATGGTGAAACCCCATCTCTACTAAAATACAAAAAATTAGCTGGGCATTGTGATGCATGCCTTTAGTCCCAGCTACTTGAGGGGGCTGAGGCTGGGGAATTGCTTGAACCCAGGAGGCAGAAGTTGCAGTGAGCTGAGATTTCGCCGGTGCACTCCAGCCTGGTGACAGAGCAAGACTCTGTCTCAAAAAAAAAAGGAAACAGAGTTTCATTCTGTCACCCCCAGGCTAGTGTGCAGTGGCACTGTCTCAGCTCACTGCAGCCTCAACCTCCCAGGCATAAGCGATGCTCCCATCTCAGCCTCCTGAGTATCTGAGGCCACAGGGACCCACCACTACACCCTGCTAATTTTTTATTTTTTGTAAAGATGGGGTTTCACCATGTTGTCCAGGCTAATTTTTAAATTTATGGTAGAGATGGGTGCCCCCTATGTGCCCACGCTGGTCATGAACTCCTGGGGTCAAGCGATCCTCCTGCTTCAGCCTCTCAAAGTGCTGAGATTACAGGTGTGAGCCACTGCCCCTGGCCATGTGATATAGATAAACTGCCATTGGTTAAACTTGTTGGTAAATGTTGTTTTTTGCCTCCTAATTTTTAATGTTATAAAATCTTGATAAGCAGATTCATCATTCTGATTGCCTTCTTAGGCCATTTTCCTACAAGTAGCATTTATGAGCAATTTTTAAACACGTTTGTTACATGAAATTCAACAGCCCTCTGATGCATGCTTTTGTATTACAGAATGTGTGAATGACAACTACTGGTTTGGGAGGGACAAAAGCTGTGAATATTGTTTTGACGAACCACTGCTGAAAAGAACAGATAAATACCGGACATATAGCAAGAAACACTTTCGGATTTTCAGGGTAGGTGACAAATGCCCATGTATTTAGGAGAGCTGGTAATCTATTCATTGCTTTTAGGTATTTTCCCACTATACATCTGTGCTTTTAAAAGTTTGAAATAAAATGTTCTCTATTATAGGAAGTGGGTCCTAAAAACTCTTACATTGCATACATTGAAGATCATAGTGGCAATGGAACCTTTGTAAATACAGAGCTTGTAGGGAAAGGAAAACGCCGTCCTTTGAATAACAATTCTGAAATTGCACTTTCACTAAGCAGAAATAAAGGTAATATCATCTTATGGTTACTGATTTTTTTTTTTTTTCAGTTCCACATAGGAGAAAAATTTGTCATGTCCTTACAGAGTGTGGTTTAAGTGAGTAATGATGAGTAAGTTAGCATTCAAGATTCAACTTCTTTGTCATAGTTGCATTATTAAATTATGAAAAAGTTCCATCCAGACAGATTTGTTTTGTTTTGCTTTGAGATGGAGTTTTGCCCTATTGCCCAGGCTGGAGTGCAATGGCACAATCTCAGCCCACTGCAACCTTCACCTCCCGGGTTCAAGTGATTCTCCTGCCTTAGCCTCCCAAGTAGCTGGGATTACTGGTGCCCGCCACCACATCCAGCTGTTTTTTGTGTTTTTAGTAGAGACAGGGTTTCACTATGTTGGCTAGGCTGGTGTTGAACTCCTGACCTTGAGGTAGAGGTTGTAGTGAGCCGAGATCATGCCACTGCACTCCAGCCTGGGCAACAGAGTGAGACTCTCTCCAAAAACAACAACAACAACAAAATTTTCTTAGACTTTTTTTTAGCTACAGCCCAAATAATGGAGAAAAAAGGTATTTTGTTTAGAAAAATGCTATTTACCTAACTTTACAAATATGTTGAATGTACTTTGCACTACAAAATACTTAATACCAGATATGTAAAAGTATAAATGGCGAGAGATGCTAATGCCAATGTGGTGATACTGATGGCCTTATTTTCATTGGGACGTTTACTTGCCTAGACCATTTTTCTAGGCTCAGACTGATTGCTTTCTGATTCTGGGCCTGTGGAATCTGCATGGGCATTTTATACTGGTGTAGTCGATTAATCTTCTGAGGTCAAGGAATATAAATAATGTTGTGTTACGGATTTCCTGTACTACCATTAGAGTGATGCTTATAGTTCCATTGAAGCATGAAATTTGACTATCATTTATTTCTCTCAAGGGTTTTACAATATGTGTTAGCCTACTGAACTGATTTCCTTAAGTTTACATGTTAAATGTAATAAAGAATTCTTATATTCCATATGACTATTAAATTTTAGAATCAGTGCTCTTCTCTTGTGAATAAATTAACGAAATCCATTTTTACTCTTTTTTTCCTTAGTTTTTGTCTTTTTTGATCTGACTGTAGATGATCAGTCGGTTTATCCTAAGGCATTAAGAGATGAATACATCATGTCAAAAACTCTTGGAAGGTAAATTATTTTCTTATATAACTGCACTTCATTTTTTCCCTATACATTTGTGATTGGTAGTTTCTCATTTCTGATTTCCTTCCTTCTTTCCTTCCTTCCTTCTTTCCTTCCTTCCTTCCTTCCTTCCCTCCCTCCCTCCCTCCTTCCTTCCTTTCTCTCTTTCTCTTTCCCTCTCTCCTTCCTTCCCTCCTTCCCTCCTTCCTTCCCCTCTCTTCCCTTCCGTTCTCTTCTCTTCTCTTCTTTTCCTTTCTTTTCTTTTCTTTCACTGAGTTTTGCTCTTGTTGCCCAGGTGGGAGTGCAGTGGCATGATCTTGTCTCACTGCATCCTCTGCCTCCTGGGTTCGAGCAATTCTCCTGCCTCAGCCTCCCGAGTAGCTGGGATTACAGGAACACGCCACTACGCCCAGCTAATTTTGTATTTTTAGTAAAGGCGGGGTTTCTCCATGTTTGTCAGGTTGGTCTTGAACTCCCAACCTCAGGTGATTCGCTCGCCTTGGCCTCCCAAAGTGCTGGGATTACAGGCATGAGCCACCGCACCCTGCCATTCATTATTTATTTATTATTATTATTATTTTAAACAGATTTTTGCTCTTGTTGCGCAGGCTGGAGTGCAATGGCGCGATCTTGGTTCATTGCAACATTTGCCTCCCAGGTTCAAGCGATTCTCCTGCTTCAGCCTCCTGAGTAGCTGGGATTACAGATGTGCATCACGACGCCCAACTAATTTTGTATTTTTGGTAGAGACAAGGTTTCTCCATGTTGGTCAGGCTGGTCTTGAACTCCCGACCTCAGGTGACCTGCCTGCCTTGGCTTCCCAAAGTACTGAGATTTCTTATTTTTGTTTTTGTGAGTTATTGCATACAGTCATTTTAATGTATTTTTATCTTATTTCTTCATTTTTTATTTTTATTTTTTTAGAGATGGGGTTACACCATGTTGGCCAGGCTGGTCTTGAACTCCTGACCGCCGGTGATCCACCCGCCTCAGCCTTCCAAAGTGCTGGGATTATGGGCATGAGCCACAGTGCCCGGTCTATTTATTTCTTTGTGAGGCAGGATATTGCTCTGTTACCCAGGCTGGAGTGTAGTGGCATGATCAGAGCTCACTGTGGCCTTGATTTCCCAGGTCAAGGGAGATCAAGCATTCAGCACCATGCATGGTTAATGTGTGTTTTTGTTTTTTAGAGATGAGGTTGTGCTGTGTTGCCAGGGCTGGTCTTGAACTCCTGGGCTCAAGCTATCCTCCTGCCTCAGCCTCCCAAAGTGCTGGGATTACTGGGGTGAGCCACCACACTCAGCCAAATATTTCTTTTTTTATTTCCTTTTTTTTATTTATTTTTTGTGTGTGTGTGTGTGTGTGTGTGTGAGAGAGAGAGAGAGAGAGTCTTGCTCTGTTGCCCAGACTGGAGTGCAGTGGCACAATCTTGTCTCACTGCAACCTCCATCTCCTGGGCTCCAGTGATCCTTTTACCTCAGCCTCCCAAGTAGCTGGGACTATAGGCTTGTACCACCACACCTGGCTAATTTTTGTATTTTGTGTAGACATGGGGTCTCTCCATGTTGCCCAGGCTGGTCTTGAACCCCTGACATCAAGCAATCCACCTGCCTCGGCCTCCCAGTGTGCTAGGATTACAGGTGTGAGCCACTGCACTTCGCTGGGTGTATAGTATTTCGTTATGTATATGTACACCACATTTACTTTGTTCATTTGTTGATGGATGCCTAGGTTGCTTCCCTGTCTTGGCTATTGTGAATAATGCTGAAATGAACATGGGAGTGCAGATATCTCTCTTTTTTTTTTTTTTTGGAGACAGAGTTTCACTCTTGTTACCCAGGCTGGAGTGCAATGGCGCGATCTCGGCTCACCGCAACCTCCGCCTCCTGGGTTCAGGCAATTCTCCTGCCTCAACCTCCTCAGTAGCTGGGATTACAGGCACGCGCCACCATGCTCAGCTAATGTTTTTGTATTTTTAGTAGAGACGGGGTTTCACCATGTTGACCAGGATGGTCTCGATCTCTTGACCTCGTGATCCACCCGCCTCGGCCTCCCAAAGTGCTGGGATTACAGGCTTGAGCCACCGCGCCCGGCGGGAGTGCAGATATCTCTTCAGCATACTGATTTAAAATTTTTTTTGGATATATATCTAGAAGTGGGATTGCTGGATCATATGGTAATTATAATTTTAGTTTTTTGAGGAACCTGCATACTATTTTCCAAAATGGCTGTACCAATTATATTCCCACCAAAAATTTACCAGTGTTCTTTTTTCTTCACATCCTCTTCAACACTTGTTAATATTCATTTTTTTGATAATAGCCATTCTAACAGACTTGAGGTGATATGTCATTGTGGTTTTAATTTGCATTTCTCTGTTCATCATGATAGGTATATTATTGATGTGTTTGATAATGATTAATTTAAATTAACTATTTTACCTCATGAATTTTATTGGTGATAATTTTTTAAAGGTGACGTCACTGAGATAAAATTTATATACCATATAATGTACCCATTTAGAGTGCAATTTAGTGATTTTTAGTGTATTCACAGAGTTGTGAAGCCATCGCCACAATCAATTTTGGAATTTTTTTATCACCTCCCAAAAAATATGGTTACTGTATTTCTGTGCTGTTTAGAATTTTTGTCATCTTGGGATGTGAAGTGAAACCTACAACTGAACGTAACTTGGGTTAAAGTTCTCAAAAATTTTGGACTCAGGACATCTCACATTCTTAAAAATTATTGAGGACTCCAAAGAGCTTTTGTTTATGTGACTTAAATCTATTGATATTTACTGTATTAGGCATTACAATTTATATATATATATATATATATTTTTATTTTTTTTTCTTTTAAGACGGGGTTTTGTTCTTTTTTTTCCGACTGGAGTGCAATGGCGTGATCTCAGGCTCACTGCAACCTCCGCCTCCTGGGTTCAGGCAATTCTCCTGCCTTAGCCTCCTGAGTAGCTGGGATTACAGGCACGCGCCACCATGCCCAGCTAATGTTTTGTATTTTTAGTAGAGACGGGGTTTCACCATGTTGACCAGGATGGTCTCGATCTCTTGACCTCGTGATCCACCCGCCTCGGCCTCCCAAAGTGCTGGGATTACAGGCTTGAGCCACCGTGCCCGGCCTATTTTATTATTATTATTTTTGAGACAGGCTTTTGTTCTCGTTGCCCAGGATGGAGTACAGTGGCATGGTCTCAGCTCACTGCAACCTCCGCTTCCTGGGTTCAAGTGATTCTCCTGCATCAGCCTCCAAAGTACCTGAGATTACAAGCGCCCGCCACCACATCGGGCTACTTTTTTTAGTATTTTTAGTAAAGACGGGGGTTTCGCCATGTTAGTCAGGCTGGCCTGGAAGTCCTGACTTCAGGCGATCCACCTGCCTTGGCCTCCCAGAGTGCTGGGATTATAGGTGTGAGGCACTGCACCTGGCCCTATTTTTTTTTTTTTTTTCAGTTGCAGAGATGAGGTCTTGCTATGTTGCCTAGGCTTGTCTCTAACTCCTGGGTTCAAGTCATCCTCCTGCCTCAGCCTCTGAAAGTGTTGAGATTTTAGGTGTGAACCACTGCACTTGCCCAAGACGCTTTTATATTAATCCATTAAGTAAACTTATTACATGTTAAGATGAGTAACATTTTCTATGAAAAATAATTACTAAAAAGATTAGTGAGAAAAGAGGCACTGTTCGACATTTTTGCAATTTTTTTGACATCTGGCTAGTTAGAACATGACTAGATTCTGATATTTGCTTCTTCATTCAGTCTGTTATGATGTCACATGCCACGTAGCCTCTGGAAAACTCCATACTTATGAGCTAATGCGAATGGAAAACACAAATAATGTGTTAGTATTATTCTGAACATAGTTTGGCTTTATGGATGCCCTGCAAGGTCTTGGGGTCCTTGGGGTTATCCAGTCATACTTTGAGAACCATTTTTTAAGGAAAAGTATCAGGGTATTGTTACTACATTGCAAAATGCTCTTCATCCCGCTTCCCTTCTCACAAAGATCTTTCTCCTGATATTTTTGGAAACATGAAAGTATAAAGTACATAAGTAGTGTGGCTGGGCGAGGTGGCTCACACCTGTAATCCCAGCATTTAGGGAGGCTGAGTCGGGTCGATCACCTGAGGTCAGGAGTTTGAAACCAGCCTGACTAACATGGTGAATCCCCGTCTCTACTAAAAATACAAAAAATTAGATGGGCATGGTGGCGGGCGCTTGTAATCATAGCTACTTGGGAGGCTAAGGCAGGAGAATCGCTTGAACCTGTAAGGCGGAGGTTGCAGTGAGCCGAGGTCATGCCACTCCACTCCACCCTGGGCAAAAGTTTGACTCTGTCTCAAAAAAAAAAAAAAAAAAAAATGTATGAGGCTGGGTATGATGGCTCATGCCTGTAACCCCAGCACTTTGGGAAGCTGAGGTAGGTGTATGGTTTGAGTCCAGGAGTTTGAGAGCAGCCTGGGCAACACGGTGAAATCCTGTTTCTAGAAAAAATAGAACAAGTTAGCTGAGTGTGGCGGGTTGTACCTGTAGTCCCAGCTACTTGGAAGGTGGAGGTGGGAGGATTACCTGAAGCCAGGAGGTGGGTGATAGAGTGAGAGCGTATCTCAGGAGAAAAAAAAGAAGAAATGTGTGGAATTCAATGTTTTTCTGAGGGAGAATTTAATAAAAATTCTCTAACTTGTGGCAGATGACAGAAACTCAACTCAAATGAGTCAGGTAAGAGAAAAAATTTACTGGCTTTCGTAACTGGGAAATAGAGAGGCAGGCGGGGAATGGTGGCCCACTCCGGTAATCCTGGTACTGTGGGTGGCTAAGGCGAGTGGATTACTTGAGGAGTTTGAGACCAGCTTGGCTGACATAGTGAAGCCCCTTCTCTACTAAAAATATACAAATTAACTGGGTGTGATGGCACATGCCTGTAGTCCCAGCTACTTGGGAGGCTGAGGCAGTAGAATTGCTTGATCCCGGGAGGCAGAGGTTGGAGTGGGTAGAGATGGCACCATTGCACTCCAGCCTGGGTGACAAAGCGAGACTCCATCTCAAAACAAACAAACAAAAAACAGGCAAATCTAACTTCAGGCATGGCAGGATCTGGGAGGTATTAGGCTTTACTCTCTGGTCTTTGAGTTTTGATGGTCTGTTTGACTTTATCGTTGACTGCGTCCAAGAGCTCCCACAGTGTCACCAGGGCTCTAGCTCCATCTACTGAATCAGCTGTTTGTTGCCTTACTATAGAATTGTTCTCTCTATGTGGCAGGAAAAATGGCTACCAAGGGCTGCAGACTGATAATCTTCTTTGTCTAGAAACTATAGCAGAGAGGCTGGGTGCAGTGGCTCACACCTGTAATCCCAGCATTTTGGGAGGCCAAGGAGGGCAGATCACGAGGTCAGGAGATTGAGACCATTCTGGCTAACAGTGAAACCTTGTCTCTACTAAAACTGCCAAAAATGAGCTGGGCATGGTGGCATGTGCCTGTAGTCCCAGCTACTCAGGAGGCTGAGGCAGGAGAATTACTTGAACCCGGGAGGCAGAGGTTGCAGTGAGCTGAGATGGAGCCACTGTATTCCAGCCTGGGCATCAGAGTGAGACCTTGCCCATTTTTAAATTGCAGGTTGTTTTTTTATTGTAGAGTTCTAAGATTTCTTTATCTATTGTGGATATAAGCTTTTATCAGATATATGGCTTGCAGCTGGGCGGCTTGGCGGCTTGGCATAGTGGCTCACACCTGTAATCCCCACACTCTGGGAGGCCAAGGGGGGCAGATCACCTGAGGTCAGGAGTTCGAGAACAGCCTAGCCAACATGGAGAAACCCCATCTGTACTAAAAATACAAAATTAGCTGGGCACAGTGGTGCATGCCTGTAATCCAGCTACTTGGGAGGGTGAGGTAGGAGAATTGCTTGAACCCGGGAGGTGGAGGTTGCAGTGAGCCGAGATTGCACTCCAGCCTGGGCAACAAGAGCAAAACTCCATCTCAAAATAAATAAATAAATAAATAAATAAATAAAAACAACAAACAACAACAAAAAAGGTAAACCAAATTATCATGTGACCCAGAAATTCTCCTTTTATGTGTATACATTTCCCAATTTTAAAAACAAGTATTGAGGTCAGGCATGGGCTTACACCTATAATCCCAGCACTTTGGGAGGCTGAGGTGGGTGGATCACTGGAAGTCAGGAGTTTTAGACCACCCTGGCCAACATGGTGAAATTCTGTCTCTATTAACAATTTTACGCTGGGTGTGGTGGCTCACGCCTGTAATCCAAGCACTTTGGAGGTCAAGGCGGGCGGATCACCTGAGGTTGGGAGTTCAAGACCAGCCTCACCAACATGGTGAAACCCCGTCTTTATTAAAAAAAATTTTTTTTTTAAAAATTAGTCTCTATTAGAAAAAATTAGCTGGGCGGGGTGGCGCACACCTGTAATCCCAGCTGCTTGGGGGACTGAGGCATGAGAATCGCTTTAAGCAGTAAGCCGAGATCGTGCCACTGCACTCCAGCCTGGGCGACAGATCCAGCCTACGTCTCAAAAAAATATGAAGAAAACAAGAAACCAAGTGCTCAGACAAAAACTTTTACATGAATGTTCATAACATCTCTAATCACAATGAAGAAGTCGAATTTATCTATTTTTCTTTTGTTGCTTATGCTTTTATTGTCACGAAGAAGCCATTTACAAAAGGTAGAAACAACCCAAATAAATGTCCATCAGAAGGTGAATAGATAAGCAAAATATGGTATTTCTCTACAATGGAATATTATTCAGCTGTAAAAAGGAATGAAGTACCACAGATGTTACGGCATTACCCCAAATGAAAGAATCCAGACACGAAAAGCTACATATTGTATGATTTCATCGATATGAAATATTCAGAATAGTCAAATCAATAGAGAGAAAGCAGATGATTGGTTTCCAGTGGCTGGGGGCTGAGGGCTGGGGACAGGGTAAAGCGAGGAGTGACTGCTCGATTGCTTAAAAGGTACAGGGTTTCCATTTGAGCTAATGAGAAACTTGTGGGATTAGATGCTGGTGGTTGTAAATATGGGCAGTGTACCTAATGCCACTGAATTGTACACTTTAAAATGATTACAATGGTAAATTTTGTGTCAGTATATTTAACACAATAAAAAAGATGTCTTGGTAAACCTGTCAACTTACTCCTTCAAAACCCACAATAGTTAGAATAGTCTACTTTGTAATGGGTAATTGATGCTCTAATAGCCATCATCTTGGGCTGACCCAAGCTTTGGTGGACAGATCCTACTCAGGATTAAGTGTGTTTTGGGTGATAGCTTGGATAGCATTCCTCTATGAGTAGTATCCCAATTAACTGCAAATCTCTGTGAGAGGTTGCTGATAGTAGGCTTATTGTGTAATACTTTTGGTTTCTTAGGTAATCTGATTTGATTTAAAGTGCAGTTCATGCTGTCAACTGCTTATGCACTTCCTTTGAAGACAGAAAATAAGAAAGAAAGAAATGTATCCGTTAAAGTTATTCATTTGCAGAGTCTGTTTACTGTTATTTGTTTAGGGCACTCATTTTTGACCAGGGAGGACCGTTTCTAGTTAATGTTTTTCTGACCTCTCACATAGGTAATTTCTCTCTCATTTTTTTCTTAGTATCTTTCTGGGAATTTCACAATCCAGGGCTGCAGTAAGACTCATGTTTGTATCACTCAGCTCAAAAGTGGAATTTGGAGCTGACTTAGTGTTGTTGGCTGTTAAGCCGTTGACATTTTACATTGGTGAAGTTCCACTGTGTCCTCTGCAAACAGGGACAATGGAAGGGTTGTTAGATGGAATGTCTGTAAATTGTAATACTTGAAGCAGCGGACTCAGGAGTGGTGGGTCTCATAATTAAAAACATTCAGACAATCACTGTCTTTGTTTTTCCCTCTAGTGGTGCCTGTGGAGAGGTAAAGCTGGCTTTCGAGAGGAAAACATGTAAGAAAGTAGCCATAAAGATCATCAGCAAAAGGAGGTTTGCCATTGGTTCAGAAAGAGAGGCAGTAAGTACCAATAAAAAGCTGCTCACCTTGTGTTGACACTTCTTCATAACTTCCCAAAATAATCTTAGATTGATGATCTTCAATCTCAGGAACAACTCCCTGCTTAGATGGATGAATTTGTGAGTATCAAAGAACATGGAAAATTTGGAGGCATCTTTGATTAATCTAGAAACTTTTACTTATAGACAATTTGGTTCCACAAGTATTTAACTGTACATAATAATGAGCATAGCGGGAAGTTTTTTTTTTTTCTCCTTCCAAGTTCAAAGTTGTTAAAAGATTGTTTTTACAACAAATGACAGGAAATTAGAGAAAAAAATTCAGCCATAATCCCCACTGTAACCCCACAGCTGTTTTCAGTTTTCCTTTTCCTCCTAGTTTTTGTTCAGATGAAATCGTGTTTTTAGATGGTTGAAATCATCTTGTATATACAGTTTTGTATTTTGCTTTTCCACAAATGCATTATGGCAGAAACTTTTCCTTAATACATCCTTTTTGATGACTGATTTTTCATATCATTTACTTTATTGTAATTTATTTAACAATTTCTCTGCCTGACCATTTAGGTAATTTCTTATTCTTTGCTGTTCTGGGTAATATGGCAGTGAGTATCCTTGGTTTATGGATTAGCCATAGATTTTTAAAATTTTAATTAAATCATTGACATAGTTTTTCTTTATAGCAGCTGTTTACTACTTTTTTGTAATCCACATTTACTGTATGGGAGGGATGGCCAAATGCATTGGTCTGTCCACATGTGACTCAACAAAGTAATGTAAAACACAGCCCCTAATCACATTTTCCTTTGCGGCCAGCTGTTTCTGGCTATTATACTTTCACATTCTTTAAAGATCAATTTTTCCCCCCCTAGACAATGCCATTCTCACATGGCAAGAAGAATTTCCTTTTTGTGTTCACTTTGTTATAGATCTTTCCCCTGCGATTCTAAGATTTGTTTCCCATTTTGAGGAGAAGAAAATACCAACTAGGTTGTTAAAAACTGGGAGTAAAATTTTACTTTTTGATTTCATTCTTTGAATCAGATTGGACTCTTTGTGACCATTTTATTATCAGAATATGCCCTGACTTGGTAATGAGTTTAGCGGCTTACAGGAAGAGGCAGGCTCTTAAAATTAAACATCTGAGTTTCTTAGCTGAAGTTCATTTTATATAAATATGTAATTCTATCTCCTCTTTGCTTGTGGAGGGTGTAGCCCAGGAAGTTGAGTTACTTGATTCATCCTTTTGGAATTGTAACAGAACAACTTTAGTACCCTGAAGCCTCCTCTTGTCAGAGTTTCAGAAAATATGTGAGCCTGCTGTTGAAGTTGGAACCTGTATCTGCTCTATTAGCAGAAATTTGAATTAACATTTTCCTTATACAGTTTAATTGAACACCTTCTTGTCCCATGTTTTTTGTTTATCATTTTAATGAATTTAAATAGTTCCATAGCTAATAAGTAAGGTCGACGAATTGTACATGAACACAGTGGAAACACACTTGTTTCTGACTGTGGAGACTGAGGCAAGTGCATTCTGTTTTCTGAGCCTTGTTTGCCCCATCTGTAAGATGGGGATAATTGTAGAATCCCCTTCAACCAGGGGAATCTGAGGCTCATGAGACATGATCTCTGTAAATAAAGAGCTTGGCACAGGATCTGGCCATTTATTTATTTATTTATTTATTTTTTTGAGACGGAGTTTCACTCTTGTTACCCAGGCTGGAGTGCAATGGCGCGATCTCGGCTCACCGCAACCTCCGCCTCCTGGGTTCAGGCAATTCTCCTGCCTCAGCCTCCTGAGTAGCTGGGATTACAAGCACGCGCCACCATGCCCAGCTAATTTTTTGTATTTTTAGTAGAGACGGGGTTTCACCATGTTGACCAGGATGGTCTCGATCTCTTGACCTCGTGATCCACCCGCCTCGGCCTCCCAAAGTGCTGGGATTACAGGCTTGAGCCACCGCGCCCGGCCTGGCCATTTATTTAAATAAAGAGCTTGGCACAAGGCCTGGCATTTATTGAATGCTTACTATTTGCCAAGGATTTTGCAAAGTTATTTCAGGTGAGGTATTTAAGTCATTGACCTCTGGGCTTTGATTTCTTTGTAGGAATAGAGCTGGGTTTGGAACTCAGGCAGCCTTTATTTAGTAAACTAAGTTTAACTGTAATTTTTTTTAAATATTGGCAATTATTATTAATAAACTCTGTGTTTCTATTTATCAAAGGATCCAGCTCTCAATGTTGAAACAGAAATAGAAATTTTGAAAAAGCTAAATCATGTAAGTATTAATAAGATATGACCCATACTTAGATTTATTTATCTCAAGGAGTATAAAGCCTTTCAGTATGATAAGGCTAATACTGGCTGAGCATGGTGGCTCACACCTGTAATCCCAGCACTTTGGGAGGCTGAGGTGGGTGGATCACCTGAGGTCAGGAGTTTGAGACCAGTCTGGCCAACATGGTAAAACCCATCTCTGCTAAAAATACAAAAATTAGCTGGGCATGGTGGCACATGCCTATAATCCCACCTACTCAGGAGGCTGAGGCAGAAGAAACACTTGAACCCCGGAGGCGGAGGTTGCAGTGAGCCAAGATCATGCCACTGCACTCTAGCCTGGGCTGCCAAGCAAGACTCTGTCTCAAAAAATAAAATATTAAACTGGGTTCTTTAACTTGTGTGTACATGCACACACGTGCCTCACTGTCATTTAGCTATGAAGAATTTTACTCCAAAATGTTGAGTGAACAATACTATATAAAGATTTCATGATTAAATAATTACATGATATTTCTTCTGAGTTAGTTCTTGACCAAAAGACGTAGTAATTATTCTATGTCATAGACATTTGATCAACTGATTATGTTGGAGAAGACAGTGCTAATTTTAGTGAATTTGACTTAGTTATACCTGAAGTTTTAATACCTTTGAATACCTTTTATTTGGAGTAATCCAAATAAATCCAAGGATATCCATTAACTATGACAACATCCTGTTCTTATATCTGATTAAATGGTGTCTGTGGCCTTGTTGGGTGTAAGTAGTTCTTTTTTTTTTGAGACAGAGTCTTTCACTGTCACCCAGGCTGTAGTGCAGTGGCGTGTTCTCAGCTCACTGCAATCTCCGCCTCCTGGGTTCAAGCAATTCTCCTACCTCAGCCTCCTGAGTAGCTGGGACTACAGGCGTGCGCCACCATGCCCAGCTATTTTTTTTGTATTTTTAGTAGAGATCGGATTTCACTGTGTTAGTCACTCATGATGGTCTCGATCTCCTGACCTCAGGTGATCTGCCCGCCTTGGCCTCCCAAAGTGCTGAGATTACAGGTGTGAGCCACTGCGCCCAGCCTTTTCCTTCTTTTCTTTTTTGAGATGGAGTCTTGTTCTGTTGCCCAAGCCAGAGTGCAGTGGCATAATCTCCACTCACTGCCACTTCTGCCTCCCGGGTTCAAGTGATTCTCCTGCCTCAGCTTCCCGAGTAGCTAGGATTATAGGCGTGAGCTTATGCCCAGCTGGGTGTAAGTATTTCTTACCTTTTTGTGCAGTGATGATTCTGTCTCAATGAAAAATGTGTCTCACTTTTAAAAAGGGAGGAGAAAGGCTGGGCTCGGTGGCTCATGCCTGTAATCCCAGCACTTTGGGAAACCAAGGTGGGCAGATCACGAGGTCAGGTGATCATCCTGGCCAACATGATGAAACCCCATCTCTACTAAAAATACAGAAAAATTAGCTGGGCGTGGTTGCGCATGCCTGTAGTTCCAGCTACTCAGGAGGCTGAGGCAGGAGAATTGCCTGAACCCAGGAGGTGGAGATTGCAGTGAGGTGGGATCGTGCCACTGCACTCCAGCCTGGACAACAGTACGAGACTCTGTCTCAAAAAGAAAAAAGTGAGAAGAGAAATTAGAGGGTGGGCCTAATCTTATCTTGGTCTTTTTTTTTTTTTTTTTGGTTCTTTCAGTTTCTTCATTAATTCATGAGTACCCATGAAAACATAAGCTCATTAGGCACTGGCATTAAACTCAAGGCAAGACCTCTCTCCTGTCCAGCTAATGATGATCTTTTTCTGGCTTTTATTCTCCAAACAGCAAAAAGATTTCTTCTCTGTTCTACCTCTCAAAATCCCTCAAAAAAGTCAGTAGAAACTGAGGATCAATTACTGTTGTTGATACTTCAACAGGTTCCTTTAGAACTCAGTGGGTGGACCTGAAAACCCAGGAGAATCCGAGTGGCTGACCTTCCTGCTTGGCTTTCTTCTGTTTCTTCTGCAAGTTCTTCTTCCTCCCTGAATTTGCCAGGTCCTTTTTCCAAGAGATTGGGAGTCTCTCTTTAACACACACACACACACACACACACTTTCGCTCTCTCTCTCTCTCTCTCTCTCTCTCTCTCACTGTCTCTCTCTCTATATATATTAGAGACAGAGTCTCTCTCTGTCACCCAGGCTTCAGTGCAGTGGCACAATCATAGTTCTCTGCAGCCTCAAACTCCTAAGCCCAAGTGATCCTCCTGCCTCAGCCTCCTGAGTAGCTGGGACTACAAGAATGTACCACCATACCCTGCTGGGAGAGAGGAGCCCTCTAATTTTCTGGGGTAGGGTTGCATCAAACCTACCCTTAAGATAAACACAAATGCTCAGGGAATTTTCACTGATGTCAGATGATCTTCAAACAACATTTACACAAATCTGGTGTCCAGTGCAATAGAGAAGAATTCAAAACACTAAAAAAGATTTCCAAACATATCTATTTGCAGTTTACCAGGGCCCATGGTACTCTTGGGAAATAAACATGGGCCCATGAGTGCATTTTGATGCTTGGGGACAATGAGTAGAATATAGTGGCCAAGAGAGCCTGGCCTTTGGAGTCAGAGATTGATGTGGTCAGTTTTTGAACACTTACAGTGCCAGGTTGTCTCGTGGACCCAGGGAAGTGGTAAGCACAGACAGAGCTGTCCATCCCTTCCCTCATGTGATTTTAGTCTAGTGTGGAGACAGATCTGGCTTCCCATCAGTACTACTAAAAAAGCTGAGAAGTCATTTATGAGAAGTTTATTTTACTTATTAGAGCCCCTATTTCCTCATCTGTACAATGAAGACGATAAGACTACTTATGTCCCAAGGTCAGTGTGAGAATTTAGAGACTTGCTTGTAAAGCTTTCAGCACAGACAGCACACTTGGGGAGTGACAGGGGATCATTAATTCTCTGAACTGCTTTCCCAGTATGACCTAAGTGGAAGGTGTGGGTTAGTAGCTTCTGATTCCTGGTAGAGACACTTTGAGCTGTGACAGTCCTAGCCAGTGACCCTGGAGATAGTGGACACGAGAGGAGATAGTTCACACTGGTTGTGACTGTCAGGCACCTCTTCATGCTCTGTTAGCTCCAGACCCCACCCATTTTCAGATAGGTACTGACACTGCCCATTATGAAGCCAACCAGAACCAAGCAGTTCCCATTTTTCCTTCTGCCTGTTCCTTTTCTATGTGTGCCTTTTCTTCTTATTCTTCTTTATTTATCTATGTGTGTATTTACTTTTTTGGGGACAGAGTCTCTTTCGGTTGCCCAGGCTAGAGTGCAGTGGTATGATCTTGGCTCACCGCAGCCTCGGCCCCCGGGGTTCAAGTAATTCTGCCTATCTTGAATGCTATGTGTACTGTCCCTTGCTTTTTTAAAGCAACAAATATATGTAGCCCTAAATAATGTAGTTTTTACTGCTTGTTTCTGAGCCTCATAAAAATGGTACAGATTGAGTGCCCCTTATCCTAAAAGCCTGGGGCCAGAGGTTTTTGGATTTTGGATCTTTTTGGATTTCGGAATATTTGCATTGTACTTCCTGGTCAAGCATTCCAAATCCAAAAATCTCAAATCCAAAATGCTCCAATGAGCATTTCCTTTGAGTGTTGTGTCACCTCTCAAAAAGATTTGGAGCCTAGTATGGTGGCTCATGCCTGTAATCCCAGAACTTTGGGAGGCCAAGGTGGGTGGATCATGAGGTCAGGAGTTCAAAGCCAGCCTGGCCAAGATGGTAAAACCCTGTCTCTACTAAAAATACAAAAATTAGCTGGGTGCAGTGGCAGGCACCTGTAATCTCAGCTACTTGGGAGGCTGAGGCAGGAGAATCGCTTGAACCTGGGGGTTGGGGGGGTGGGGGCAAAGGTTGCAGTGAGTCAATATCATGCCACCACACTCCAGCCTGGGCAACACAGTGAGAGTCTGTCTCAAAAAAAATTTTGTATTTTTGTATGTGGGATGCTCAACCTGTATCATACTCTTTGAAGTATTTTGTGACTTGCCTTTTTCATTCAACATTATGCTTCCAAGACCCATCTATGGTGGGAAAACTGGGTGTTCATTCATTGCTATATAGCAATTCATTATGGGAAGGTTCCACTGGAGGATTTTAATAGAGTGATGAGTGATGAATATGGTCAAATATACATTATAGGAAGATTAGTCCGGGAAGTTTTAACACTCTTGAGTCTAAAACAAAAAAATCTGATGGTTCTTTTCTCTTTAATTCTGATACAACTACAATCCTCCTCTGCTGGGGTGTGTGTCCCTGATGAATACACACCAAATCTTTTATTTACCCACCATGCTTAACTGTCTACTATCCTTTGTATTATAAAAACAATAGGTGTGATAGCTTATGCCTGTATTCCCAACACTATGGGAGGGGAGGTGGGTGGATCACTTGAGGCCAGGAGTTCGAGATGAACCTGGCCAACATGGTGAAACCCTCTCTCTACTAAAAATACAGAAATTAGCTGCGTGTGGTGGCGCATGCCTATAGTCCCAGCTACTCAAGAGGCTGAGGCAGGAGAATTGCTTGAACCCAGGAGGCGTAGGTTGCAGTGAGCTGAGATCGTGTCATTGCACTTGAGCCTGAGCGACAAAGTGAGACTCTGTCTCAAAAAAATAAAATGAGACTGTCTCAAAAAGAAAGAAAAATTAAAAAAAAACACAATAGGTGTGCTAAGTATAAAATCATGATATTGTGTAGGCATTTTAAAATGTGCAGTAATTTCTCCCTTTCCCTCAGTGTTTTTCCATGCACCCTGCATTAATCAGAGAACATGAACTGTCAGCCATAGGGGTGTGTGTGTGTGTGTTTGTGTGTGTGTGTGTGTGTCTGTCTGTCTGTCTCTCTGTCTGTCTCTCTGTCTCTCTCTCGGACCCCCGCCCCAAGTGTGTTTTAGAGTTCTTATAAAATTAGAATTCTTCTCTTCCTTTGAAAAATGATAGGATCTTGTCCCATGAGGTCTAGTTGCCTGGAGTTTCTTGCCTAGAGCTTAAATAATCCTTGTGCGGGAGCATGGCTGGGCTCCTGCTTGACCACTTTTATTCATGCTACTTGTCAGTCTCCTTCAGGGCTCCTTAGGCTGTCCTTGAGTACCTTTGCTCTGGGGCAGTGAGGAAGCAAACTGGGATGAGACCCAGCCTTCATTCCTAGGTAAAATCCTTGCATATGAAATATGACCTAGTCTCTCACCATCATGGCAGGGTGGAAAATTTCTTGCATGCTCTCACTGAGGAGTTGGCTAGTTTCTGTCTGCCTTCTCCCCTGATTGAACTTTCAAGCCTCTGGAGGCAGGGAGCCAAATGCCTGGTCTTGGCCTCCCTGCTCCGCTGGGCAGATGTTCTAAGCTCTTGTGGTTTTCCTCTTGGGAGTTTCTCACTACTTTCCCTTTTTTCTCCCCCTCTTCTTAGCCTTGCATCATCAAGATTAAAAACTTTTTTGATGCAGAAGATTATTATCTTGTTTTGGAATTGTAAGTAGCAAACTTTTTAAAAATTTCTGTTCCCTTTCAAATGCTTATAAAGCCACCAAAGAACCTAATGTAGGCTTGCCTTTCTCATCTTGGGGGACCTCAATGTATGTATGTAGTAGTGGGGCCCACAAAGTCTGTGTATAGGGGGGTAATATTAATCCTGAAAACTCCAATGTTTCCAAAGGTAGGTGGTATGGGATTCCAGGCCCTGGATCTGTGACCTGGGCTTGAATTCCACCCTGCAGGTGACAAGCTGACCACCCATGGGTGAGTTTATTTCATCTCTCTGAGTCTCAATCTTCCTAGTGTTAACTGGGGATTATAATGTACCCCCACATGTAGAGTCCTTGTAAGAATTAAATGCTGGCTGGGTGCGGTGGCTCATGCCTGTAATCCCAGCACTTTGGGAGACCAAGGCGGGCAGATCATGTGGTCAGGAGTTCAACACCAGCCTGACCAACAGGGAGAAACCCCATCTCTACTAAAAATACAAAAATTAGCTGGGCATGGTGGTGCATGCCTGTAATCCCAGCTACTCCAGACGCTGAGGCAGGAGAATCGCTTGAATCCATGAGGCAGAGGTTGCAGTGAGCTGAGATCGTGCCACTGCACTCCAGCCTGGGCTACAGAGTAAGACTCTGTCTCAAAAAAAAAGAAAAAGAATTAAATGCTGTGAGGGATGGAAATCCCCCAGCAGAGCAGCACCTGGCACATGTGTGTACTCACCATGGGGTGATATTGTTGTAATTGGCTCACCATTAACTGTGGGTTTCCACATCCATGTATTCAACCAACCTTAGATAGAAAATACGTACAAAAATAAAATGGATGGTTGTGTCTGTACAGACATTTTTCTTATTATTTTCTAAACAGTACATTAGAACCACTATTTACATAACATTTACAATGTATTAGGTTTTGTAAGTAGTTTAGAGATTATATAAAGTATGCAGGGCTGGGCGCAGTCGCTCACGCCTGTAATCCTAGCACTTTGGGAAGCTGAGGTGGGCAATCACCTGAGGTCGGGAGTTTAAGACCAGCCTGCCAACATGGTAAAACCCCATCTCTTCCAAAAATACTAAAACTATCCAGGTGTGGTGGTGCACATCTGTGATCCTAGCTACTTGGGAGGCTGAAGCAGAATCACTTGAACCTAGGAGGCAGAGGTTGCAGTGAGCTGAGATTGTGCCACCGTACTCCAGCCTGGGCCACAGAGCGAGACTCCATCTCAAAAAATAAAAAAAATAAAGTATACAAGAGACAGCCTGGGTAATAATGTTGAAACCCCATCTCTATCAAAAAAAACAAACAAACATAAAAAATGAGCTGGGCATGGTGGCACACATCTGTAACCTGTTATTCAGGAGGCTGAAGTGGGAGGATCACCTGTGCTTGGGAAGTCGAGGCTGTAATGAGCCAAGATCATGCCACTGCACTCCACCCTGGGCAACGGGATTGACACTCTGTCTCCAAAAAAAAAAAAAAAGTATATGAGATGATATAAATAGATTATATGCAAATATAAGGGGCTTGAGGATCATGGATTTTGGTATCTGAGGGGGCTCCTGGAATCAATCTCCTATGGATACTGAGGAATGACTACTCTGAAATGTCTACCTGGGTAGGCCTTTCTACCCAGATCCTTTCAACCTAAGACCAGGTTGCATGGTGGCATCTGAGTATCTTTCTGTGTCTTGGTAGTTTATTTCAATGGTGATAATGTCTTGTGTTATTTGGTATAATCAGAATAACTTCCTGTCTCATTTCTGGAAGATGCCTGTCTTGATATCTGCTCCTGCATAAATGTTAAGTGTTTGTGGGAGCGGCTGTTGTGGGAGGCACAGAATGTTTTGCTTCTGGTTGGCAAATGGTATCTATGCATTGTGATCATTAAGACTGTATAGAAAACAGGCCAAATGTGGCGGCTCACAACTGTGATCCCAGCACTTTGGGAGGCTGAGGTGGGCGGCTCCCTTGAGGCTAAGTTTTCAAGACATGCCTGGCTAACATGGCAAAACCCCATCTCTAGTAAAAATATAAAACTTGGCCAGGTGTGGGGGACATGCCTTTAGTTCCAGCTCCTTGGATGGCTGAGGCACGAGAATCAGTTGAACCTGGGAGGTAGAGGTTGCAGTAAGCTGCAATGGACAGAGCAAGACTGTGTCAAAAAATATAAGAAAAAAGAAAATAGACTTCATGGTAAACAACAGCCCTGATCACAGCACTAGGAGAGCCTGGTTCGAGACGAGCCTGACCAACATGGAGAAATCCCATCTCTACTAAAAATACAAAATTAGCCGGGCATGATGGTGCATGCCTGTAATCCCAGCTACTTGGGAGGCTGAGGTAGGAAAATCACTTGAACCCAGGAGGTGGAGGTTGCGGTGAGCTGAGATATAGTAGCTGATATTTATTAAGCACTGATTGTAATCTAAGTAATGCTGTAAGTACTTTACATAGGTTGACTCCTTCTTCACAACAGTTCTGCAGATTACTTACAGGTTATAGGTGGGTTACTATGCTTAGTCCCACTTTAAAAGAAAGAGAAAATGCATCACAGATAGAATAACCTTGCCACACACCTGTGCCAGGAGCTTTTCCTACATCAGTTATTGCTTAACTTTTATAACAACCGTCAAGGTAGATTGTATCATCCCCATTTGTTAATGGTAGAAACAAGCTCAGCTATTAAGCAAGTTAAATAGCTTGCCCAAAGTCCAAAAGCTGGGAAGTGGTAGAGTTGGGGTTCAGATCCTGGTTGTCCGTTTGTAAATTTCTTTTTGCTCTTCTACATCAGTCTCAGAATCATCTGTGGTATGTGATAAAAATGCAAACTCCTGACTGGGCTTGATGGTTTACGCCTGTAATCCCAGCACTTTGAGAGGGCAAAGTGGGCAGATCACTTGAGGCCAGGAGTTTGAGACCAGCCTGGCCAACATGGCAAAACCTTGTCTCTACTGAAAAAAAAAAAAAAAAAAAAAATTAGCTGGGCGTGGTGGTGCATGCCTATAATCCCAGCTACTTGGGAGGCTAAGGCATGAGAGTCACTTGAACCTGGGAAGCAGAGGTTGCAGTAAGCCAAGATTGAACCACTGTACTCCAACCTGGGTGACATCCAGGCTCTGTCTCAAGAGAAATGCAGACTCCTGGGCCCCACTTCCAAGCTACTGAATCAGATTTTTTTTTTTTTTTTTTTTTTTTTGAGGCAGAGTCTCACTCCATCACCAGGCGCCAGGCTGGAGTGCAGGGGTGCGACCTCAGCTCACTGCAACTTCCGCCTCCTGGGTTCAGCAACTCTCCTGCCTCAGCCTCCCGAGTAGCTGGGACTACAGGCGCGCGCCATCATGTCCAGCTAATTTTTTTGTATTTTTAGTAGAGACGGAGTTTTACCATGTTGGCCAGGATGGTCTCGATCTCTTGACCTCATGATCTGCCGGCCTCGGCCTCCCAAAGTGCTGGGATTATAGGCGTGAGCCACAGTGCCCGGCCTGGATCAGATTTTTTAAAGTTCCCCAAGTGCCTCCAATGCCCACTTCTTTCATCATTACTTTCCAACTGGAACATCTGATTGTGAATAAGGCTTATTACCTCATTAGTTTTAAAAATGGAATAAAAGTGAATAAAAATGTCAACTGTTTGCTTGTCTTAATGAGTTTGTTTGTTTTATTATCTTCTGTCCAAGTGTGTTTCCCCCCAGGAATGAACTCCTTGCTTTGCCTGTGTTTCAGGATGGAAGGGGGTGAGCTGTTTGACAAAGTGGTAGGGAATAAACGCCTAAAAGAAGCTACCTGCAAGCTCTATTTTTACCAGATGCTCTTAGCGGTACAGGTAAGAAAAGCCTTCAGTTTTGACAGCTGAATTTCTTTTAGGTGAATTACTTCCAGAATTAGGCAGAAATCTACGGACCATGGATTAAAACTCAGAAGAGAATCTGTGTGTTTACTGTTCTCTTAGCAAAAACATCCTACTCCTTTCACTGAGATGAAAAAGCTCTCACTGGCCAGGCGTGGTGGCTCACGTGTGTAATCTCAGCACTTTGGAGGCAAGGCGGGTGGATTACGACATCAAGAGACCAACATGGTGAAACACTGTCTCTATTAAAAATACAGCAATTAGCTGGGCAAGGTGGTGCTTGCTTGTAATCCCAGCTACTTGGGAGGCTGAGGCAGGAGAATCGCTTGAACCTGGGAGGCGGAGGTTTTAGTGAGCCAAGATTGTGCCACTGCGATCCAGCCTGGGTCATATAGTGGGACCTCCATCTCTACAAAAAATAAAAATAGCCAGGCATGGTGGCATGCACCTGTGATCTTAGCCACTCTGGAGGCTGAGGTAGGAGAACGGCTTGAGCCTGGGAGGTTGAGGCTGCACTGAGCCGAAGTTATGCCATTGCACTCCAGCCAAGGTGACAGTGAGACTGTCTTTTTTTTTTGGAGACGGAGTCTCACTCCGTAGCCCAGACTGGAGTATGGTGGTGCGACTTCGGCTCACTACAACCTCCTCCTGGATTCAAGTGATTCTCCTGCCCCAGCCTACCCAGTAGCTGGGATTACAGGTGCTCGCCACCACACCAGGCTAATTTTATTTTTGTATTTTTAATAGAGATGGAGTTTCACCATGTTGTCCAGACTGGTCTCAAACTCCTGACCTCAAATGATCCGCCTACCTTGGGCTCCCAAAGTGCTGGGATTACAGGCGTGAGCCACCATGTCTGCCCACAAGCCTTTTAAAAATTTTTTTTATTTTAATTTTTGTAGGTACATAAAGGTGTATGTATTTATGGGGTACAACACAAGCCCTTTTTAATGGTGGCTGTTACCTACTCAGTGTATCTCTCCCTTACTGGTTTATTCTGTTTATTTACATTGAGTAACCAATAATAACATGAATTGAGTTTGTGGATATGTGAAAATTTTGTTTCCTGAAAAAATATGGCCACGCATGGTGGCTCACGCCTGTAATCCCAGCACTTTGGGAGGCTGAGGTGGGAAGGTCACCTGAGACCAAGAGTTCCAGACCAGCCTGGGCAACATTGTGAGACCCTGTCTCTACCAAAGAAAAGAAAGAAAAACAAATTAGCTGGTCAAAGTGGCATGCGCTGTGCCTATGGTCCTAGCCACTCATGAGGCTCAGGTAGGAGGATCACTTGAGCCCGGGAGGTCAAGGCTGTAGTGAGCTAAGATGGTGCCACTGTGCTTCAGCCTGGGGGACAGAGTGAGACCTTGTTTCAAGGAAAAAAAAAAAAAAGAAATATGGCATAGTACGTTGCTGTTTGTTCATTTTTATATGCTATTTCAGACAGAGTTTTCAAAGACAAAGTCTGCATTGAGGAATAGGTTAACTCATATAGAAACAGACAATTTACAAATACATGTTTGTACAGATTCCCTTTAAAAATATTCTTGGCCGGGTGCGGTGGCTCAAACCTGTAGTCCCAGCAATTTGGGAGGCCAAGGCAGGCAGATCACAAGGTCAAGAGATTGAGACCATCCTGGCCAACATAGTGAAACCCCGTCTCTACTAAAAAATACAAAAATTAGGTGGGCATGGTGGCATGCGCCTGTAGTCCCAGCTACTCCGGAAGCTGAGATAGAAGAATTGCTTGAACCTGGGAGGTGGAGATTGCAGTGAGCTGAGATCGTGCCATTGCACTCCAGCCTGGCGCCTGGCGACAGAGTGACACTCTGTCTCAAAAAAAAAATTTCTCAGGACTGTAATAACCAAATATATTATTTTGGTGAAATTTTTATGTTTATTTGGTATGTTCTCAAAACATTTTCTATTACCCATTTGAATTTTTATTGAAATTGACACCTGACACTTCCACCTTGTGAAGGGTTATTTATTTATTTTTGAGATGAGTTTCACACTGCTACCCAAGCTGTAGTGTAGTGGTTTGATCTTGGCTTACTGCAATCTCCGCCTCCTGGGTTCAAGCAATTCTCCTGCCTCAGCCTCCTGATTAGCTAGGACTACAGGCATGCACCACCATGCCCAGCTGATTTTTTTGTATTTTTGGTAGAGACAGGGTTTCACCATGTTGGCCAGAATGGTCTCGATCTCCTGACCTTGTGATCTGCCTGCCTTGGCCTCTCAAAGTGTTGGGATTACAGGCATGAGCCACTGTACCCGGCTGGGTTATTTATATCTTAAAGTGAAATGGAAGGTTGATTGTCCTAAGTACCTTTTTTCATTTCCCTGCTTTTTAAAGATCTTCTCAAACAAATTTGTAAACTTTACCCCAACAGTTTTCTATGATTTTGGAGAATATGGTTGTGTGTATCACGGCTTATGGTTTCAGCCAGTTGTGAGATGTGTGTGTTGGTAACTTTGATTCTACTTAAGTATCTACTGCATGAATCTGAGGGTCATGACTGCCTTTCTGTGTAGTACCTTCATGAAAACGGTATTATACATCGTGACTTAAAGCCAGAGAATGTTTTACTATCATCTCAAGAAGAGGACTGTCTTATAAAGGTAAGAAATTGGCATTCTGTATGTGGCTATTCCTGTAGATTCTTGTTTAGAAACTTTTAATTCCTCAAATAAAAAGGTGGGAGCATAAAAAGTTTGAGAATCTGACCTTTTCACTCTTATCAGTTGTTTTAGAGATCAGGTGATATTGCCCTTACCCAGATTTGAATTAGCATTTATTAAGCTCTGTTGTGTACAAGTGACCTTTGTGCTCAGAGGGAGAGGAAGGGTCTAAATGGACAAGTGGGCCAAGCACAGTGGCTTGCACCTATAATCCCAGCACTTTGGGAGGCTGAGGCAGGCAGATCTCTTGAGGTCAGGAGTTTGAGACCAGCCTGGCTAACATGGCAAAACCTCATTTCTACTAACATACAAAAATTTAGCTGGGCATGGTGGGGGGGGGGTGCCTGTAATTCCAGCTACTTGGGAGGCTGAGACATAAGAATCACTTGAACCTGGGAGGCAGAGGTTACAGTGAGCCAAGATTGCACCACTGCACTCCAGCCTGCACAAAAGAGCAAGACATTGTCTCAAAATAAGTGAATGAATGAATGAGTAATCACATACCCTGCCTTTCCCTGTTTCTCAAGCCTGGCATCACTTTAGAATCTCTTGTTAGGATTTATGACACCAAGCTTCACCTCAGAAGCTGAGAGTGGCATTCAGGTTTAAGAATGTGTGTCCAAGCTCCCCAGGTATTCCATAGTGGAGCCAAGTTTGAGACAATGGGGTCTGAGAATCACGTAGAACTAATAGAATCCTGAAGTGTCTGCGATAATGGTTATAAGCTTTTTGTAAGATTACAGAGGACATAGGTTAAGTTAAGTTGGAAAGCCTCAGTGTTGAGATTCCTAGGCTCAGGAATTTTAATTTAAACAAAATTAAATGTCTTAACTTGCAAAGACATGAATCTGTAGATTCCAGATTAATGGCAGGTGTGAGTTTTACAATAGAAACTAATCTAGCCTATGTGTCTTCTTGGACTGGCAAACTATATTACTCTTTTTATTTTATGACATAGTTCAACATTATTCCCTTTTGTACTGAATTTTAGATTACTGATTTTGGGCATTCCAAGATTTTGGGGGAGACCTCTCTCATGAGAACTTTATGTGGAACCCCCACGTACTTGGCCCCTGAAGTTCTTGTTTCTGTTGGAACTGCTGGGTATAACCGTGCTGTGGACTGCTGGAGTTTAGGAGTTATTCTTTTCATCTGGTAAGAAACATTTTCAGTGCTTCCCAGACCGGTAGGAGATGATTAGATGAAGTCACAAATGTGTCCTGCTTCATTGTCCAGGCTGGCTTGTAGTGGCTTGATCTTGGCTAACTGTAGCCTCTACCTCCTGGGTCAAGTGATCCTCCCACCTCAGCCTCTCGAGTAGCTGGGACTACAGGCGCACGCTACCATGCCCCGCTAATTTTTCTATTTTTTGTAGTGATGGGGTTTTGCTATGTTGCCCAGGCTGATCTTGAACTCCTGGGCTCAGGTGATCCTCCTGCCTCAGCCTCCCAAAGTGCTGGGATTACAAGCATGAGCCATTGTGCCCAGCCTAGCTCACTTTTTGATCACTGATTTAAATAAAAATCTGACTTTTCATTATGCTGAAAAAGAAACCTATATATCTAAATGTCACTGAGAATGCCACTTGATTTCTTTTCTTTTCTCTCTCTACCAATATTAAGCCTTAGCGGGTATCCACCTTTCTCTGAGCATAGGACTCAAGTGTCACTGAAGGATCAAATCACCAGTGGAAAATACAACTTCATTCCCGAAGTCTGGACAGAGGTCTCAGAGGAGGGTATGAATACGAAATGGTTAAGAATTTGTGGTAAGCTAAAATGTGTATGTGCTGTGGTGGGAGTTTCTTTCCAAATTCCTTGGTGTTTTTTCCTGTCAGTTCTGTTCTTATTTTATATTGTTAGTTTCACACCATTTGAGAGGCACTGGAAATTATTAAGAGCATGCGCTCAGGTCCTGGGTCTGCTACTACTTAGCCGTGTGGCCTTAGGCAAGTTATTTAACTCCAGTCTCCATTTTCTTTCTGTGTAAAGGGACCCTTAATAACCCCTGCTTTAAAGGGCTTTCGTGAGGGCTAAGTATAATGTACACAAGTGCCTGGTACCTGTTTTAGTGAGCAAAGTAAGTGCACTTGTAACTTTTTAATTACAAAGTTTCCTTTGAGTAAGTAAGCATATAAAAACTAGATGTCATTAGTTACCTTCTATTTTATAATTTATCCTGGCAACTTTAGTTCCCTGAAGAGGAAGTAGAAAATTAAATGTCAAATAATATAGATGTTTGTGTTAAATGTCAGAATATTTAAGGAACAATAGGGTTGCAATATACAAGCCAGCGTGCATTTGTTGCTTGCTGGAGTGTCAAGTTTTATTTCTGACAGGTCTGCAGTTCCAAGGAACCTCCCCCTGGCTGAGTAACTCTCACCCATCAATCTGTGAGTGTCAGGGAGAGTTTGCTGTGCATCCCAAGTATCTTAGAATTGCGTGGAAGTTCAGCTTTAATTCGTTTGACCTTGAGTGTAGCAGCAAGAGAGGGAACGGGCAGCTAAGAGCTCCTCAGTGACATCCCAGCAGCAGGAGACGGGGAGTATCATTATCATTCCTAGTCTTCTCACAGTACTCTGAATACAGAGAGTCAGGAAGATTAAGGGGCCCTGTCTGCTGACTCTGTGATGATCTCAGACCCTCTCTGTTCTTTCTGGATAGTGGCCTGTTAATTCTGGCATACTATGATATTGCTGACTTAATATATTTATCCTTTTTGCTGTGATTTGCGCAATTGTTGTTTTAGCTCTGGACCTTGTCAAGAAGTTGTTGGTGGTGGATCCAAAGGCACGTTTTACGACAGAAGAAGCCTTAAGACACCCATGGCTTCAGGTGGGTGTGGAACAGTTCCTGCTAGCATAAAATACCTGGGAACCCTGCTACCTGAAAGACATGAGGCAGGGGACAGAAACATGTTTGCTTTGTTGGGTCTGTTTAATTTAATTATTTTAGATGTATTGGGGGTATCTTACATGATGGGTTACAACCTGTTTTTTTTTTTTTTGAGACGGGGTCTTATTTTGTCACTCAGGCTGGAATGCAGTGGGGTGATCTCAGCTCACTGCAACCTCCACCTCCCCAGTTCAAGCGATTCTCATGCCTCAGCCTCCCCAGTAGTTGGGATTACAGGTGTGCGCCACCACATCCATCTAATTTTTGTATTTTTTTTAGAGGTGAGGGTTTGCCATGTTGGCCAGGCTGCAACCTTTTTGATGTTACTCATGGCTGTTGGATGTACAGCTCACTTTATGTTCTGTTCTGGTTCCACTTGGCTGTCCCGAGTTCCCAGTTTGGCCACTGTTCCTTTGAGGGCTTGTTCTGGCTCCACCCCCAGCCATGTACACCACTCCCCATAGGTGGGATGCATTCCAGCTGTCTTCAGCCTTAAATCAGGGAAGCTGGGGGAGGTGGAGGGCAGCCTCCCTGGGGAGAATCCAGCTATTTCTCACGCCCAAATGACTGGGTATAAAGGGTCCCACTGCTTGTTCATTGAGGTGAGTAAACATGCCCTTAGTGAAGGCTGTCATTTGCACGTTTTGTCTGTATTGTCGCTGTGTTCCTGCTAGGGGTTGGGGCTGCCATTATTATATGCTGACCTCATTTGGAACTGCCAGAGTTGGAAGTACTTGGTAGCTTTGTCGGGTTAATCTTTACCTTTGGAATTAGCTGCAGCACTGGGCAGGTTTTTCTGATAGATGTCTGGTCTTCTGTTATAAGCAGTTCCATTCAACACAGCCAGCCTCTTTCTATTAATTTTCTTTTAGTCTGTGTATTGCTGTGTTCTCTCACTGCTATAAAGAACTGCCAGAGACTGGGTAATTTATAAAGAAAAGAGGTTTAATTGACTCACAGTTTCACATGGCTGGGGAGGGCTCAGGAAACTTACAATCATGGTGGAAGGGGAAGAAGGCATTTCTTAATGGCAGCAGGTGAGAATATGTGAAGGAAGCAAAGGGGGAAAAGAGCCTTTTATAAAACAGTCAGATCTCGTGAGAACTCACTATCACGAGAACAGCCTGGGGGAAAACGTCCTCATGAACCAGTCACTTCCCACCAGGTCCCTCTCTCAACACCTGAGGATTATTACAATTTGAGATGAGATTTGGGTGGGGACACAAAGCCAAACCAGATCAGTCTGTTTTCTGTGCACTTGGGGGACCGAACCAGGTAGCTTGAATTAGAGGCTGTTACTTGAGCTACATGCTTTTTCACTGGGGTTACTGGTTCAGGAACTCCCTGGGCAATCCAGCCTCAGCCCCGTACTTCTGGGATTCTGGGAAGACTCCACATTCTCTGTTCCAATCCTCTACACCTGACAGTTTTGCTCAGGCCAGCTCAGGCTGAGAACAACAAATCCTTCAAAAAAAAAAAAAAAAAGACAGATATATGTGTTTTGGATGTCGCCCTGGAAACTGCAATCTTCCCAGAAGAAACCTGTCAGATGATTTACCATTTAATAGACCACACAGATTTGAAACAGCAGGAAAGGAGTTTGGAAACAAAGGGTGCCTTTGCATGTGGGGATTTAATTTTCATGAAAAAGAGAAACATGTCTTTTGGCTCTTTTCATGTGTCCTAATAGGGAAACTCTTGGGTCTAAATGTAGAGGTACAGGAGCTGTGTTCGTCTGTAACAAAAAAACAAAACAAAACAAAATAGAATTGGCCAGTTGAGCCTGGGAACAAGGTTTGCAGCTGCCTGAAATTTATGAGCAAGCATAGCCTATTTTTTTTTTTTTTGTACTTCTTTGTCTCAAAGAAAACTTATTAACAACCAGGGAGAAGATGAAGTTCAACTCTGTTGCAGGGTCTCCCTGGAAAACTCTTTTCTCCATCTTTGTTTTTGTAGCAAAAGGAGGAAGGAACATTGAAGGCAAGGATGAAGACTGACCATCTAAAACATCTGTCAGTGATAGTTGAGGTTTTATTTTGGGAAAATTCAGTGTTTTTGAAGAAACCAAACGGTTTTGTGGATCTGGTGCTGGACAGAATATTGGAAATGTGGATTCTGGTCTGTTTTGTCATTAACAGAGCGCCCAGTTTTGGGAGTTTCCCTTATATCTACTGTCTGCCTCATATTTACTGCCTGAAATAGAGGATTTCTTCTGTTTGCTTTCAAGGAATATTATACTTGACTTTTTATTTTATTTATTTTTGGTGACGAGGTCTTCTTCTGTTGCCTAAACTGGAGTGCAGTGGTGCAATTACAGCTCACCGCAGCCTCGACCTCTTGGCCTTAAGAGATCTCCTGCCTCAGCCTCACAAAGTGCTTGGATAATAGGCATGAGCCACTGTTTAGCTCACTGAATATTCTGGAATAATTGTAGACATCATGAAGGACCTCAATGTTTGTTTTTATTTATTTATTTATTTCGTTTTTTGAGGTGAAGTCTCGCTTTTGTCTCCCAGGCTGGAGTGCAATGGCAAAATCTCGGCTCACTGCAACCTCTGCCTCTAGGTTCAAGTATTCTCCTGCATCAGCCTCCCAAGTGGCTGGGATTATAGGCACCTGCCACCATGCCCAGCCAATTTTTGTATTTTTAGAATAGAGACGGGGTTTCACCATGTTGGCCAGACTGGTCTCAAACCCCTGACTGACCTCAGGTGGTCCACCTACCTTGGCCTCCTAAAGTGCTGGGATTACCGGCATGAGCCACTGCACCTGGCCTGATTACTTGTTTTAAATATAGGCTTGATTAGGCTTGTGGCCACTCTGGCCTCACTGAAGGGCTGCCAGGTGAAGGGCATTCCACTGTGGTTTTGTATGTTCATTCATTCATTTCTTCGGAGCACACTTCATGAGATTGTGTGTTAAGCACTGTTAGGCGCTGTGCATACAAAAGGAATAAACTATGTCCTTGTCTTGGAGCTGAAAAGTTTGGGTTGGGGCCAGCCTGACCTTGGTCATTACAGAGGGGTTCGATACATGTGGTAATAGGGGTAGATGCAGAGTATGCTTCTAAACGTAGAACAGGCAGGGCCACTGCCCACAGGACTTGGGGTACTCATACCTTCACACAGTGTGTAGAGTGTCTTAGGGCTAAACGGCCTGGCAATAATAGGGGGGATACGCAGGTCAGCATTTTCAAACACTTAATCTTTCTGATATGGAGGCCCTGTGCCTGTTAGAGTGCCTGACACCTAAGGGTGTTTAGGAAATATTTGTTCACTGAATGAGGAAGGTGGGTCAGGTGAATGGGTGGGAAAACAAGGTGGGCATTTCCAGTTGAGGCTGTTGCACGAGCAGGTAGAGGGGAAAATAAGAGATGCCTGTGCCACCACTCCTGTCTAATTTTTGTATTTTTAGTAGAAATGGAGTTTCACCGTGTTGGCTAGGCTGGTCTCGAATGCTTAACCTCAAGTGATCTGCCCTGCCTCAGCCTCCCAAAATGCTGGGATTACAGGTGTGAGCCACTATGCCTGGTCCTTCCTTTCTTCCTTGCTTCCCCCTCCCCCTTCCCCCCCCCTTCCCCTCTCCCTCCCCTTCCCCTCTCCCCTTCTTTCTCCCTCCCTCCCCTTCCTCCTCCCCTTCAATTAACTGAGTCATTTCAGTTTAATTGTGAGTCAATTAAACCTCTTTTCTTTATAAATTACCCCTCCCCTCTCTCCCTCTTTTCCTTCCTTTTTTCTTTTCTTCCTTCCTCAGGGTCTTGCTCCCTCACCTAGGCTGAAGTGCAGTGGCATGATCACTCCACCATGACTGTCAGGCTCAAGCTATCCTGCCTTAGTCTGCCAAGTAGCTGAGTCTACAGGTGCGTGCCACTATGTCTAAATTTTTTTTTTTGAGACAGGGTCTCTATCGCCCAGGCTGGAGTGCAGTTGCACTTTCGGCTCACTGCAACCTTCACCCCCCCAGGTTCAAGCAATTTTTCTACCTCAGCCTCCCAAGTAGCTGGGATTATAGGCGCATGCCACCAGCCCAGCTAATTTTGTATTTTTAGTAGAGATGAGGTTTCACCATGTTGCTCAGGCTGGTCTCGAACTCCCAACCCGAGGTGATCCACCTACCTCAGCCTCCCAAAGGGCTGGGATTACAGGTGTGAACCACCACACCCGGCCTAATTTTTAAATTCTTTGTAGTGACAGAGTCCCACTATGTGGCCCAGGTTGGTCTCAAACTACTGGCCTCAAGCAATTCTCCCACCATGGCCTCCCAAAGTGCTGGGATTATAGGCATGAGCCACTATGCCCAACCTAGTGTTGTAAAATTTCTATATCCATCAAATTGTCAAATGGTGGAGGACTTTACTGTGTCCTCTCCATTGCTCACTGTGGTATGCTTGGCTCAGTGGGAGGAGGGGCTGGAGTTGGGTGGGAAAGTACATGAGACATTGTAATCAGATAACTCTGGGTCTGTGTTCTGCACATGCCACCTGTGAGTGGCTGAGCTGGGCTTCTGGCCAGCACTCAAAGCCCACATTCCTAGTTATAGATGTTCCTTTCACCTTGCTGAAGATGGGAGAACTGCACCAAGCCACCTCTCAGGGTTTCCTAAGGCAAATCCTTGAACCCTGCAGAAGCGAGCATCCAGAGAGGTGGGAGCTAGTCACGTATACACTCTCTGTGCCCTCCTCATCTCCCCCTCCTGCAGCATGAAACACCTGTGGTGCTTTGTTCTATTCATTGTCTCCCGTTCTCACTAGACCTGAGCTCTGGGATATTGTGGGCTTGAAGTATTTCTGACAATTTGTATGGCATCTACTGGGTGAATTTTCCTAGCATGCTGGGCTGGTTGTTAGGATAGCCTGGGTGACTGGCCTTGTTCATGGCAGGAGCAGGGGATGGAGAGTGGTCCCAAAAGGATTTGAGGAGCTGCACGGAGTCAGGCCCAGTCTCTGGCCTCCTGATTGTCATCTTTCTCAGGATCTGGGATACTGATTCAGAAACCGTTGACTGCTGGAGGCTGTGATTGACCCACTGAGAGCTTTTAGGCATGTGGATTTGAGTCAGCTAGGATGGATGGAGCATTGACTGCTAATTAGACTCCTCTGGGAAGGTAGAGGGGGGCAATGATGCCTTCGCTGTGGGAGCTTCATCAAGAGGATGATTCTTAGATGGAGTGGATATCTTTTCCTCCCTCTTTCCAGGGGCATGCTAGCCCTGCCATCTAGGAGCTTTCTATCCTTCAGATATAGCTACTTACGTTTCTAATTCCCTCATAGGATGAAGACATGAAGAGAAAATTCCAACATCTACTGTCTGAGGAAAATGAATCTGCAGCTGTACCCCAGGTTCTAGCCCAGGTATTTGTATTCCTGTTGATCACAAAATGTAGTCTGGGCTTAAAGAGCCGATAAGCAAAGATGATGAGTTTGAAGATTTTCCTGAGTAGCAATTGCTTAACATTTAGTTATACTGTGGTAGATACTGTTTTAACTGGATCCACTCCAGCACCCTCAGATTTAAAAATGCAGGACATGTTTAATATCTGACACATAATAGACAGATAATCACAGCTACGGATTGTCATCCAACAGGTCACCTGCTAGTCAATTTCAAAATACTCAGAGGCTCAAATATAAATTTGTTGGAAAAATTAAAATTTGAGTCAGTGGTTGATTCCTTGATTATAATTTTATTCTTTAATGTTCTTTGTAAGCATAATTTAATTCTAGTCCTGGTGTTTTGTGTGTGCGTGTGTGTGTGTGTGTGTGTGTGTGTGTGTATGGTAGCTCTTCTTTTTCCCACTGTTTCCCCCCCCCCTCCCTTTTTTTTTTTTTTTTTTTTTGGAGACAGTCTTGCTCTGTCATCCAGGCCAGAGTGCAATGGCGCTGTCTTGGTTCACTGCCACCTCTGCCTCCTGGGTTAAAGCAATTCTCCTGCCTCAGTTTCCCGTGTTGCTGGGACTACAGGTGTCTGTCACCATGCCCAGCTAATTTTTGTATTTTTAGGTGAGATGGGGTTTTGCCATGTTGGTCAGGCTGGTCTTGAACTTTTGGCCTCCCAAAGTGCTGGGATTACAGGCGTGAGCCACTGCACCCTGCCTTCTTCCCAGTTTTATATATGGGAAAACAACTAAGGCACAAAGATTGTCTTTCCGCAAAAGAGCAAGACTTGGGGCTTCAACTGAGAAGTATTATACACCTTTTAAACTTGATATTTTGAAGATGATTGAGAGGAAGTTGGTTATGCTGCTTGCTTTCAGTATACATCATGAAGAGGTCAGAAGCCATAAGGGAGAGAAATATCTGTTAGATAAGAATGTCTGAGTTGGGGGCTGTGGTGGGGACTCAGTTGTCAATGATGACAAGTAATTTTTGATACTAGAGTTTCACATCAAATGCCCCCACTGTATTGGAAGCATATTGGGGAACTTAGATAATCTTAAAGAAGCCAGTGATTTTCTATTGAACATTTCTCCATTCTCCTTTATTTTCAGCCTTCCACTAGTCGAAAGCGGCCCCATGAAGGGGAAGCCGAGGGTGCTGAGACCACAAAGCGCCCGGCTGTGTGTGCTGCTGTGTTGTGAACCCCGTGGTTTGAACATGAAAGACATGGGCCTTCTTTCACTGTCATCTTTCTTTAAGTCTGTTTTTCTTTTTTTTTTTGAGACTTTTTTTTTTTTTTGGTACGGTTTTTTGCTCTTGTTCCCCAGGCTGGAGTGCAATGGCGCGATCTCGGCTCACCGCAACCTCCGCCTCCTGGGTTCAGGCAATTCTCCTGCCTCAGCCTCCTGAGTAGCTGGGATTACAGGCACGCGCCACAATGCCCAGCTGATTTTTTGTAGTTTTAGTAGAGACGGGGTTTCACCATGTTGACCAGGATGGTCTCGATCTGTTGACCTCGTGATCCACCCGCCTCGGCCTCCCAAAGTGCTGGGATTACAGGCGTGAGCCACCGCGCCCGGCAAGTCTGTTTTTCATATTTTAATTATAGGATAATTGCTTTTTCGCTGTCATTGATTTACAATTAAAAACCTGATGGAACCTGGGCTTTGTGCTTCTGTTTGATAATCAGTTCTTTAGTCGAATGGCTTTATTATTTATTTATTTATTTGAGACAGAGTCTCAATCTGTCACCCAGCCTGAAGTGCAGTGGCACAAACTCGGCTCACTGCAACCTCTGTCTTCAGGTTCAAGCGATTATTGTGCCTCAGCCTTCCGAATAGCTGGGATTACAGGTATGCACCACCATGCCTGGCTAATTTTTGTTTTTGTGTTTTTTTTTTTTTTTTGAGACAGAGTCTCACTCTTTCACCCTGGCTAGAGTGCAGTGGCATGGTCTCGGCTCACTGCAACCTCCACTGCTTAGGTTCAAGCAATTCCCCTGCCTCAGCCTCCCAAGTAGCTGGGACTACAGGCATGTGTCACCACGCCCAGCTAATTTTTTCTATTTTTTTTAGTAGAGACTGGGTTTCACCATGTTGGCCAGGATGGTCTCGATCTCCTGAGCTCGTGATTCACCCGCCTCGGCCTCCCAAAGTGCTAATTTTTGTATTTTTAGTGGAGACAGGGTTTTGCTATGTTGGCCAGGCTGGTCTTGAACTCCTGACCGTAGGTGATCCACCTGCCTCAGCCTCCCAAAGTGCTGGGATTACAGGTGTGAGCCAATGCGCCTGGCCTGAATGGCTTTTTTTTTTGAGATGGAGTCTCACTCTGTTGCTCAGGCTGGAGTGCAATGGCACAATCTTGGCTTACTGCGACTACCGCCTCCTGGGTTCAAGCTGTTCTCCTGCCTCAGCCTCCTGAGTACCTGGGATTACAGGTGACTGCCACTACGCTTGGCTAATTTTTTGTATTTTTAGTAGAGACAGGGTTTCACCATGTTGGCCAGGCTGGTCTCAAACTCCTAACCTTGTGATCTCTGCCCGCCTTGGCCTCCCAAAGTGCTGGGATTACAGGCGTCAGCCACCGTGCCCAGCCCTGAATGGCTTTTTTATATTTAAAGTTGTTGTGTGTCTTTCATCTGGAGCTACACCTTGGCTATCACTAGGCAGGTTTCCCAGGATGTCATCCTGGTCTCAGCCTGTGAGAGCTGAATACAAATTTTAAGGGCCCTGTGGAAAGTTCCAGGGAAAGGAGCATATCGAGGTTGGGGGTGGTGTTTTTAGAGACTGGCTGGCTGTTTACCAACATCTTCATGAGAACAGCAGGTACCTTGGTGCATAGTAACAGGCCAGTTTACATTCTCATCCTCGCCCTCCTAAAGATACAGGTCTATAGTCTGAAACTTTCGGGCTAGATAAGTTGTGAAATTTAATTATCGAATTTTAGGAAGATGATAAGGCACATCTACTATGATGTATATGTGTAGCACCCCAGTGGAGTCCAATAACCAAACGTTAGTATTTCCACAGCAAATATTCACAGTAAGAGGGATAGAGAAAGATTATAGGTTGCTGCATATTGGTTCATATCAGCCTTTTCTTCCAAATGAGCTACAATGACTTGGTTTTGAGAGCTGTTTGGGTTTGGAAGTGGAGATGAGGCGTGTGGTCAGTTATGTCATGTTGACCCACTAATGACCAGGGAGGCCCTGTGCAAAGACTTACCCCCTTGGCTGCTCTTGTCCTCAACAGTGATTCTGTGAGTGAGGTCCTCCAGCCATTGTCATGTGACAGGTGAGGGACCCAAAGTTAAGAGAAGGAAAGTAACTTCAGATGTCGCACAGCTGAAAAACGGCAGAGCTGGGACCCAACCCAGGTCTTTTTGACTCTAAAACTAACGTTCCACTGAATCTGCTTTTATAACTTTGCCTGGTGGATGCTACGGCACTCTGTAGCTTGCTGGCCATGCCATGAATTGAGTGCCATGGTTCAAATGCCACTGGCGATTCAGTCGGGGCAGGGTCAAGGGCACACAGCCATTTCCTTAGGAAATGGGGGTGGTGATTGGCAATTGCCATTAGAAGGTTGTATAAGCATTCTGAGACTTGGCTGGCCTGGTGTAGGGAGTTTGATGGGAATTTAGGTGGTTTGCATGTTTAAAGAATGAGGCTGAGATTGCCAAGTAGATGGGTTTTAGCTCATTTGAATATTTAATGTGGAGGCTGTGGTTTCCTGGGACATTTTTCCCACTTGTGCGGAGTCAGCTGGCCCTTCTCTGTTTCTAGAGCATTTTGTATTAACTCTCTCTCATGATATCTTCTATGGTAGGATGAATAATGGCCCCTCCAAAGTGTCCTCCTCTTAATACCCAGAATCTGTGAATATGTTTCTTTCCATAACAAAAGGGACTTTGCAGGTGTGATTAAGCATCTTGAGATGGGAGCTTATCCTATGTTACCAGTGGGCCCAGTGTCCCACCACAGTGCTCTTTTTTTGTTTTTTGAGACGGAGTTTTGCTCTTGTTACCCAGGCTGGAGTGCAATGGTGCGATCTCGGCTCACCACAACCTCCACCTCCTGGGTTCAAGCAATTCTCCTGCCTCAGCCTCCCAAGTAGTTGGGACTACAGGCATGCGCCACCATGCCCAGCTAATGTTTTGTATTTTTAGTAGAGACGGGGTTTCACCATGTTGACCAGGATGGTCTCGATCTCTTGACCTCGTGATCCACTCACCTCGGCCTCCCAAACTGCTGGGATTACAGGCATGAGCCACCACGCCCAGTGAACACAGTGCTCTTTTAAGAGGGACTCAGCAGTCAGGGGAGATGGCAATATAATGATGACTGAGTGTCTTAGTCTTTTTTTATATTGCTATGCAAAATCTGATACTGGGTAATTTATAAAGAACAGATTTATTTCTCACAATTCTGAAGGCTGGGAAGGTTGAGGGGCCCGCTTCTGGTGAGGGTCTTCTTACTGTGTCACCCCATGGTAGAAGGCATCACATCAAGAGAGAAAGGGGGCTGAACTCATCCTTTTATTAGGAATCCACCCCCATGATAATTAACCCTCTGCTGAGATAACACCCTTCCTCTATTAATGAGGGCAGATCCTTCATGACCTAATCACCTCTTAAAGGTCCCACCTCTCAACACTGTTGCATTGGAGATTAAATTTCCAACACATGAACTTTGGGGGACACATTCAAACTATAGCACTGTGCAGAGACTGGAGTGGTGTGCTTTAAAAATGGAGGAAGGGGCCACAATCCAAGGAATATAGGTAACCACTAAAAGCAGAAAAAGGCAAGAAAATAGATTTTCCCTTTAGAACCTCCTAAAGGAATCAGTTCTTTACATCTTGACTTCAGCCAAGTAAAACTGCTTTGAGGCTTGTGACCTATAGAACCATATGAGATTAAATTTGTGGTGTTGTAAGCCAATCAGTTTGTGGTAATGTGTTACAGCAGCCATAGAAAAATAATTGAGTCACCAATCGGAGAAATCAGCTGCTGATTTAAGGCTACCTAGCACCTACTTCCTCTCCTAGTCTCACTCTAATTTTCTCTTGGAGGAATTCTTTTCCCTCTTCTATTAAGTTATGGGAGATGGGGCCGGGCATGGTGGCTCAGCAATCCCAGCACTTTGGGAGGCTAAGGTGGACAGATCACTTAAGATCAGGAGTTTGAGACTAGCTTGACAAACATAGTGAAACCTTGTCTCTACTAAAAATACAAAAATTAGCCAGGCGTGGTGGTGGGCACCTGTAATCCCAGCTACTCCGGAGGCTGTGGCACAAGAATTGTTTGAACGCAGGAGTCAGAGGTTGCAGTGAGCTAAGATCGCACCACTGCACTCCAGCCTGGGCGACAGACTGACACTCCATCTCAGAAAAAAGAAAAAGAAAAAAAGGTGGGGCACGGTGGCTCTCACCTGTAACCCCAGCACTCTGGGAGGCCAAGGCAGGCAGATCACAAGGTCAGGAGCTAGAGACCAGCCTGACCAACATGGCGTAACCCCATCTCTACTAAAAATATAAAAATTAGCTGGGCTTGGTGACATGCACTTGTAATCCCAGCTACTCAGGAGGCTGAGGCAGGAGAATCACTTGAACCCAGGAGGTGGAGGCTGCAGTGAGCTGAGAGCATGCCATTGCATTCCAGCTGAGGTGACAGAGCAAGACTCAGCCTCAAAAAAAAAAAAAAAAAAGTTATGGGAGAGGATGGGATGGTAAAGCTAAGTATCTTTTGCACCTCCTCCCCCTCACTGCAGAAGCTGAAGGGATTCCTAGAGGCTGCTTCTGCTGTGGAGCTGTTCCCACTGGCCACTCAGTTGGAGGTGGGTATAGGACTTTGAAACATGAACAAATGGAGCTGGGATGGCAATGGTGAAAGCGATATGTGCTAATCTAAACTCTACTTCCTAATTTTGGCTCTGGGTAAGTTACCTCAAGTTGCTGAGTCTTTGTTTCCATATTTATAACATTGGTGCAGTAAGAGTACCAACCTCTTCTATGCTGTTTGGAGGAGGCAGGTCTGTAATGTACCTGGCATGTGGTAAGGGATTCATCAATGTTGGCTTCTATTATTAAAGGTGGGAGAACCACATAAATAGCCATAGGGAATCATAGAAAGTTCTTGAGCCAGAGACAAGGATGGCCTCTCTCACCACTCCTATTCAACATAGTATTGGAAGTTCTGGCTAGAGTTATCAGGCAAGAGAAAGAAATAAAGGGTGTTTGAATAGGAAGAGAGGACGTCTAAGTGTCCCTGTTTG